ATAGTATTCGAATATATGGGGCTCAGGTAGGATAGTTTTAGAATATGGGGCTCAGGTAGGATAGTTTTAGAATATATGGGGCTCAGGTAGGATAGTTTTAGAATATATGGGGCTCAGGTAGGATAGTTTTAGAATATATGGGGCTCAGGTAGGATAGTTTTAGAATAATTTTTTATCTATTTTAAACACAGAGTATTAAATAAAAAAAATTTTATTAAAACTTATTATTTTATGAAATTGCAATTGTGAAATATTTTCAAATAGGTCAAATAAAAGAATTGTACGAAAAAAGTATCACTACATTATATATAATATATTATATATCATATATCTATGAAATATATTAAAAATATTAGAGATAAGTTTACAATTCTAATCACTTAATAATTCATACCGATAAAGTAGTGAACGATAATCTTCTAAGGAACCGAGTGATGGCGTCTGAGAAAGATAAAATTCGTGTTGAAGAGAAATTGAACGATATTCTGCCAGATGTAGAGAAAACACAGGTACCATTTAAGACTTTCAACGATTGGGACTTTTTTGCAGTAGAAATATAAATGGGAGGGGGGGCTTCCTCCTTCCCCCTCCCCACCACCATCTGCGCATTTTGGAAAGGGAAAGGAATTGAGTTTTTGCCACAAACTAAAATTTTCTTATCACTTCAACTCATCAACCTGATGTTGTAATTCTTTGATATTTCAAACTTAGATTATTTGATCTAGGAGACGTCATAGTTTGAAATATCAAAGGTTTAAGACATTGGGTAGCAAAGTTCTAAGAATTAGAAAATCAGAGTGGCAACGACTCAGTTCCTTTACAATGGAAAAACACGGATGAAAAGTAATAAATATATTTAGGGTTTCATAAAAATTAGTTTCTCGCATTAATTACTTTATTCATTGTTCTTTATCAATGATTGATTTTTTAAATTGATTCTTGTTTTTTGTTGTGTTTCATGAAAAATTTTAAACAATTGTTTTAATTTTAGGAGAAGATCAACGAAACAGTGTTCCAGATAAATGATGTTAAAAAGGTTAACGCTGACCTACAGCTTCAGGTAAGAATTAACCTTCATGTTAAAAAAGGTTAACGCTGACCTACAGCTTCAGGTAAGAATTGACCTTCATGCTAAAAAAGCAAAAATAAAAACAAGTTTTGACAGCTTTAAAAATGCTCCTGATTTTTCGTTGTTTTTTAATTGTTTCCCTTGGAAAAATAAGCTAAAAATTTAAGATTTTCCCAAAAATGACCCCTGTGATCAGGGTCAGGATATATGGAATCTACAGCATTTGATTTAGCTCCCTTGACCTGGATCAAGATCAATGTAGAAAATTAGCAAACATCGCTTTAAAGTAATATTCATGAGCTGCTGGATCCAATTTTTTCAGAAAGGATTCATTAATCCGGATCCTCGTCAAAATGAAATAGAAACTTAGCACTTACATTAAACATTAGTCAAAGGAATTGAGTCTTTGGAACAAAATCAAATAGTTAAAACACAATATCTTTAGAACCCGATGTTTTAAACCTTTGATATTTTAAACTCAGATTACTTGATCTAACAGAATTCATAGTTTGAAATATCTAAGGTATGCAACATTTGGTTCCAAAGATATAGTGATTAGAAAATCAGAGTTTGTGGCAAAGACTTAATTCCTTTAATTAATATAGTCTTATTTTGAGCAATTTATTTTCTTGAATTTTTCAAGGATTTGGGTTAAAATGTATTTATCCTAAAAACTAAAATTTAGAAATATTATATTCCATGCTCTGTAAACTGTTTAAACCTAAACTAATTTCATAAACGACCAGGCTCAGAGGTTGAACGTGGAGCTAAAGGACAAAGTTGACATCATGGATTCAAGGGTGAAGGAGGTCAAATCTAGGAAACAGATGGAGGTTACGGAAATTGCTGGGAAGCTAGGTAGGTCTGGAAGGTCAAATGTTATGTCTTTTGAACTGTTCTTGGATACTTTGAAAAAAAAAGTCAATGCTTTTTTAAATATTTTTCATAAAATATGGAAATTTCGGTTTTGTGACTTTATTTGAAACTATACTTTTACGGCGTCTCTTTCTTCCAATAATATTCGATTTTTTATGTTGAACAAATTAACAAATTTTCTTTGAAAAAAATTAAAGACTCACACAGATTTCTTTTCATACTGCAATTTTGTCCAAAAAATAATTTTTAAGATTTTAAATTGAAATTTTGTTTTGGAAATTGACATTAAACAAACACCAACATAAATATAATTTTATATATATTTATAAAGAATGGTTTACCCATTTTCCAAACTATAGCTGCAAGTTAAAAGAATAAAACATCTTGAGGTTTATCGAATTATTTATAATTAATATTGCTTGTTGTAGAGCGTGAATATGAAGACAGAGTACAGAAAGCTCTGGCAACCTTAAGAGAGGTTTATGAAAACCAAGTTAAGGTAAAACTTGAAGAAAAAAATTTAACTAAAAATGAGTAACTTTTTAGCTCTAATTTAATCATCTGAGACTCAATGTAATTTTCTATTAAGCAAATATAATTTAGTTTGTGCTTGAAAATTAAATGGATAAATATTCTTTCATAATTTTAAATACTTGTTGATTTTNGGGGTAATTTAAACTTTGCAAATTTCCCGGAGCCATCTTTAAATCTAAAATTCACCATTAAACAAAACAAACTTATTCTAAAACCAATAAAACTTTTTTCATCATAATAAAGGCAAAAAATTGTATGCGGTGGAAAGGGAGAGGGAAACAACTAATTTCCCCATCTTGATGTATACTGGGTGTCCCACGAAACATGACACTTGGTGAACAATTTTGAATGTCTTTTTCCATATACTATAATATATTTTTTGAATTTTATTTCGTTAAAACATCTTTTTCTCAATATATTTTACTTTGAAATCAATTTAACTAAAACATGACTGCCATATAATAATTTTTACTATTCTGTTTAGTATCAAACAACTTATCAACAATTTATGGAAGAGGGTATTTTAAACAATTTACCAACTGTCATGTTTCGTGGGACACCCTGTACCCTCTGATATTGTTTAGGAAGGGAAGAATGAGTTTACCAAGAAATATGAGAAAAGAGTTTCAGGTCAGATTTTTAACTCTTAAAGCCTTTCTAATTTTTGTATCTACTTGACAAAACTTTCTGTCATTGTTTTAAGATTTTATGTTTGAGGGAAACATTTTTCTGGTCTTTTGTCCAAGGAGAAGAATTTCTGTTTTTGAGATTTTACTAAAACAGTTGGAAAAAAAACACTAACAAAGTGTGAACTCAATTAAACTGTTCGATATTTCAAATGTCATTATTTTCAACATTAAAAATAGTCTCCACATTTTACGATGAAAAGTATTGATTTCTATCAGGATGTTTAGTTTTTAAATGATTTTATTAGATAAAGTATTGATTTCTATCAGGATGTATAGTTTTTAAATGATTTTATAAGATAAAGTATTGATTTCTATCAGGATGTTCCCATCTTCTAAATTAGTTGTGAACATGTTCTCTTTGTGTACATCGTAAAACTAAACAAAAATAATTCGCGGATTTTTACAAAAAATTTCGCGGATTTTCAAAATTTTTAAAAATTTAATGACGGTCGAATTTTGATAGAGACAAATATTTGAAATTTTGATTTTTCATAAACATTCCCTGGGGTCTCTAGATGTCCCACAAAAAATTTGGGCCCGATCTGTTCAGCCGTTTTGACGTTTATTGGATACAAACAAACAAACAAACAGACAAACAAACAGACAGACAAGCCAAATTTATATATAGATTTTAGCTGAAATTTAATCTAGATAATTTTTTTTAATTAGATGATATATTTTAGGATCTATTTTATTTAGTTTTCTTTCATCTTAATTTACTGGTTGATTTGTTTTTTATATCATTCTTTCAAAAATTTTTCTTTGGAGGGGATTCTGCTCCGTTTGGGTCTGAAACCCCCTAGAAACCATAGGTTTCACTGATCCAGGTTGGTGGGGGCTGAGCCCCAATACCTCTCCCCCATGTATGCGCCCCTAGATTCTGCCCTTTATATTTCATCTTTCAATATTTTCTATTTTAGATTCTTCTGAAGGATGATGAGATAAAGAAGATTCTTAATGAGATTCATAATCAGCTCCAGGAATACCAGAACCTTATGGATACAAAGGTACTTATTTCAAGTACCAGGTCGACTTTTAAGCAGCTAGAGAAAGCTGTACAGTATGTACATACAAACTATGTAAGGAAAAACAGCTAGGACTATTTACCAAATGATTTAGCTCTTAGAGAGATTCATGTGAATCTCTCTTGAGGCTAGAGAGATTCTTGGGAATCTCTTGAGGCTAAAAAAGCCTGAACAATATCTGCATGTAAGCTGCTTAATCATCTTTTAACATTTTTAAGTAGTAAATAAAAATAAAATTATATTCTAAAAAATAATTTTCACAATTAAAAAGGAACTCATTACTCCCCACATTCTCTAATCCCTCATATTTTGGAGACCTTTGATATTTCAAACTATGGATTCTGCTAGATCTAATATTCAAACCTTTGATATTTCAAACTATGGATTCTGCTAGATCTAATATTCAAACCTTTGATATTTCAAACTATGGATTCTGTTAGATCTAATATTCAAACCTTTGATATTTCAAACTATGGATTCTGCTAGATCTAATATTCAAACCTTTGATATTTCAAACTATGGATTCTGCTAGATCTTCAGGATGTATAGTTTTTAAATGATTTTATAAGATAAAGTATTGATTTCTATCAGGATGTATAGTTTTTAATTGATAAAGTATTGATTTCTATCATGATGTATAGTTTTAAATGATTTATTAAGATAAAGTATTGATTTCTATCAGGATGTATAGTTTTAAATGATTTATTAAGATAAAGTATTGATTTTTGTATTTTCATGGATTATTTTGTGTTCCTGTTTTAGATCTTCAGTCTGCCCTCTCTAAGGAGCGGTACAAGAATAACTCCACTGGTAGAGTACACTACTACAGAGTGTTCCAATAAACATAAGAATTAAATTACGATGAGATCGTCTTTGACAATAGTATCTATTTTTATGTTTTTTAATTCCCTTTTTATTGGCACACCCTGCACAACAAGAAAAAATTATTTTAACGCTTCCCGCTTCTTTTAAATTTTCCAATGTTTAAGGACAAGGGTTGGATGAAACTAATAGAAGAGTAACTGCTCTTTTATCAAAGGTAAAATTTTAACGAAGATTTTCTTTGCGAAGTATTGTGCTTGTTTACGATGGGTCGTCTTTGAATAGTAAAACAGCCATGATCACAAGCACATTTAGCCCAAAATTAGTATTTCAAAGGTAAAAATAAAATTTAGTTATCATAACACCGAAAGAGGGAAAAAGCTTTTTTCGTACAACTGTAATTATCATTTTTGAAAACTCTCTTTTAGGTTAAATACCTTGAAGAGCAGCGGGAAGGTCTTCAGGATAGAATAGAAAATATGGAAGAAAAACTGAGAGAGCAGGATTCTGGACATAAACGACAGGTTTATTATCATTATTAATAGTTAATTCATAAATTAATTCATTAATTGTTCAACAAATTTTATTTACTAGAAATTCAAGGCGCTTCGCACCCTTCTTTCTAGCCTTAGAGGGCGCTTCGCGCCCATCTTCTAAATTAGTTGTGAACATGTTCTCTTTGTGTACATCGTAAAACTAAACAAAAATAATTCGCGGATTTTCACNTATTTCAAACTATGGATTCTGCTAGATCTAATATTCAAACCTTTGATATTTCAAACTATGGATTCTGCTAGATCTAATATTCAAACCTTTGATATTTCAAACTATGGATTCTGCTAGATCTAATATTCAAACCTTTGATATTTCAAACTATGGATTCTGCTAGATCTAATATTCAAACCTTTGATATTTCAAACTATGGATTCTGCTAGATCTAATATTCAAACCTTTGATATTTCAAACTATGGATTCTGCTAGATCTAATATTCAAACCTTTGATATTTCAAACTATGGATTCTGCTAGATCTAATATTCAAACCTTTGATATTTCAAACTATGGATTCTGCTAGATCTAATATTCAAACCTTTGATATTTCAAACTATGGATTCTGCTAGATCTAATATTCAAACCTTTGATATTTCAAACTATGGATTCTGCTAGATCTAATATTCAAACCTTTGATATTTCAAACTATGGATTCTGCTAGATCTAATATTCAAACCTTTGATATTTCAAACTATGGATTCTGCTAGATCTAATATTCAAACCTTTGATATTTCAAACTATGGATTCTGCTAGATCTAATATTCAAACCTTTGATATTTCAAACTATGGATTCTGCTAGATCTAATATTCAAACCTTTGATATTTCAAACTATGGATTCAGTTAGATCTAATATTCAAACGTTTCTTAAAGGTTTAATAAATAATATTAAAAAATAATAGACTCAAGTTATGACTTTAAATAGTCCAGTGCGCTTGTGCCACAGCAATTGTGTAGTGAAAACAGACCCAATTCATTTAATAAGTGTCTAGTAAAATCATAACAAGTTCAAATACACTATTGCTATAAAGTCGTCTTACTATTTCAGAGTTTTCTGGTTATCACTTTATTTTAACAGGTTCCTGGTCGATCTAATTTTAAATTGAATCATAGGAAAACATTGAAAATTTACCGCGATGAGATATTGTAGATATCCTAGATATCTCAAACTACGAATCTCCTAAATCAAGAAGTCATGTTTTATTACTTTCACAGTCACCAACGAAGTTATAAACCATGTCGTTTAACGATATTATAATACCTAGACTGCACTGGATATGGAGATTGCAGTTTACAGGAAACTCGTTGAAAGCGAGGAGGATAGATTGGGAATAGATATCAGAGACGACAGTGAGTAATTATCATTATTATTATTATTATTATTATTATTATTATTATTATTATTATTATTATTATTATTATTATTATTGTTATTATTATCAGTGTCCCAGAGTCTATCTAGCTCCCGTGGCTGCTCTACCCCAGCAAGCCCTAAGCTTAGATATCATACTTATAAGGTTGTTTTAAAATCTTATTATGAATTATCCTATATTTCATATCATGTTTTTCAGATATATATCTTAGCCATGGCCATTATCTTAATTTTGATCGATTGATCTTAATTTGATCTTGATCTTGATCCTGATCCTGATCTTGATCTTGATCTTAATCTTAATCTTGATCTTGATCTTGATCTTGATCTTGATCTTGATCTTGATCTTGATCTTGATCTTGATCTTGATCTTAACCCTAAAAATCAATGATCTTTATTTTAGGCATCTGAAGAGACTATAGCACAAAATCACTCAATCAATCATACTCAACTCTAATGAAAATTTCAAAGCATCTATATCGGCTAAGAATAAAATTGTAGAATGATTATAAATTCTAAAATATTGCAGATTTTTTGAGTTAAAATCATTCCATGTATCTTTAAGTTTATTTACATTTTTCTGAAGAGTCAAGTTTTTCTTCTTGTAATAATGTATTAATAATGTATATTGTAAAATGTAAAATGTAAATTTCTAAACAGTGTTGTACAAATGCTTTGAGTTTGATTATTTTTGATAAATTTTTCATTGGGATTTTGAATGTTTGCCTTAATCCCGCATTTATGTAGAATTTCAATTTACATTATAGATGCTTGTTCATTTAGCGAGTTGACTTTAATTTGACGTTTTTTGCTTTAATATGTCGTCTTTACAAATATTAAGCTCTGTTAGTAAAGTAAAGATTTTATGAATATTGAAGAAGTTTGGACCAGAGTATAGGGGCTCATTTTATCTTTTTTACTTATTGTTTTTCATGAAAAGTTACAAAGTAGCGCAAGAAATTCCAATACTTTGAAAACTTGTAATTATTAATTACAAAGGTATAATAATGTTATTTTAAGATGAAATATGAACATAAATTTTAATCTTATAAACCTAATGCAAATTATATTTTTTTGTAATAAATTATTAAAAAACTGCTTTTTGTAAAAATTGAAATTTTATCATTCCTCATGATTTGATAATGATTTAAAAAATGAAGAATCTCGAGATTAATAATTTTTGTTTTACAACTATTTGCTTGGGTGGTCGGTGGGAGATATACATATATACACCCAATTTTTAGTATACCAGCTCGAGTGTTATGTCAGAAAGATAAATAAGAGAATTTTGTCGTTCACAGAAATAAAAAACCATCCTTTTTTCCAAACGATTTAAGATAAGTTAACGATCAAAACTTGGTCTCAAAACTTTTGGTGAACGGAAATTTTTAAAGATTTTAAACTTTAATTTAAAGATTCTTTATACACAAAAACTTTTCCTGTTTCAACTATGTTGCCTTTTTTCTGAAGAAAAAAAACACATAAAATTTATTTCTATCAACGTAGGTTAAGCAGTAATGAGCTCGGGCATGTATGAAAGGTTGTCAGAGCAAAGATTTAAATAAAAAATTTTCTATAAAAGTATGTTAATGTCCCTAAAAGCTGATAGATTGCAAATGTGTGAAGTACACCTACAGTATGGAAACAGTACAACAAAATGACGGTTTTACACTTGCTTTGACTTAATTTTACTATAAATACTCTTTTCTCCTGGCAATCAATTTTCTGTCCGTTCTAGGCAGGCAAGTTTTCATACTTCTATGTGGGGCATGGAAGGCTTTTGTTTATCTTTGAAGTACATATCACGGGCAGCTGAATTTGAAATTCCGACCTTGGTCAACTTTTCCGGTCCCAGTATGTAGTGTATCACCCGGACATTGGGTAAATCTCAGAATATATATATATTCTGAGGGGTAAATGAAGCACACACTCAATAGGACTAGTCGGTGCAACAAGGTTGACGCGGTATGACTTTAGGTTGAATTTACCATTACTAAAGGGTCAGAGGTGCGTGATATTGTTTCCAAATGCAGTATGCACACAAAAGCATGACAATAGTTACATCGTAGTTCTGTCAATTTGCTATCCAATCAATTATCAAGGTATGTTCATATTTGTTTCGCGCCTTTTCTAGGCCCCAATATCTTTAAATGTAAAAATTCAAACAGCGAAGTAGAGAAATTAATTAACTCAAATTAATGAGGCTGAAAAGGAAAGTTTGACAGAAAACAAATAATTTTTTCGCCATTCTTCTGTTTAAAAGGCTATTGATGGTTTTTAATCAGGATATATAATTGTCCTTGTTTATCAACTAAGTGAATGAAAATGGATTAAATTTATATTTATTTTTTTAATAATAATAATATTATTAATTAATTCTTAATTCAGCTCAGGTGAGAATATTAAAAATCTAGAATAGTGTAATAAAAAATTATATTTTGAAATTCTAGTTGTTTTTTTGGGAGTCCTTTAAACCTTGTTAAACCTTAAAACACACAATCCAAAGACGTTTGCTGTTCAAAAATGTAAAAGATAGTTAATCACTATAATTGAGCTCACCATTCCTGTTGGATCATCCACATACTCTGCTGTACACTAGACGGGCTGGTACGGTACGGTAAAAACCTTGTACTGGTTCAGATCATGCTACTTTTAATGAGATTGTGAATTTTTTTTTTAAACACCCAGACCCTTCTTAATACTATTATTAAAACTGTCTCTTCTATACAGAGAAACTTAAAAATGTTCTAAATAAATATTTGATTTATGCTTTTAGAAAGTCATAATTTTTTAAAAACTAATTTTAGCATGGATTTGTTGATTTGAGAAATCAAAAACAAAGCTTTACACACGATTCAATATAACAGGAATGAAAATAATATGAAATTTACCAAATTCCTATAAACATCCTTGTTTTATTAATTGGAGTTTTGGTTTTTAAACATATCCAGAAAATTTTTATACGGTTAGAGCAAGGCAAGTGCAAGTTTATAAACAATAGGCATAAACTATTAAGAGCAAAAGAAAAATATTAATAAATTTTTAATGTCCAATTTGACATTAGAACTCGGTTAAAGGTTTCAATGATACTGTTAAGATTCAGAACAAAATTATTAAACATTATATTTTCAATTGGGTCATATTAAATTTTCTTTCGTGTTTTGTCTTTAGCCATCATTCATTATTATTTTGTATTTTGTATTTGAAAATAAATATTATACAGTGAAACCCTTAATAATAACGAATACATCGAAAGAATTCATCAAATGTCGTATTCTTCACTTTCTGATAAGGGAATGTAGCAGATATTTAGTTTTTTAATTAAATGATTATATGGAACTCTTTAAAACTGTTCCCACATATGCATGGCTATTTATTTATTTTCGCAAATACTGAAATTTATTAAGAGTTTCACTGTACTATACTTTACCTGCTATCTTTGCATGGAGGGTAATGCAAAATTACACTTACTTTAACCAAGAAAAAGGAGTGTGTTTAAATCAAACCAAGTTGTTATGCAGAAATCTCTCAAGTCAAAAACATACTTTAATCTTTTTGGTATTTAAATATTTATTCGTTTAAGACAGGTTAAGTTATTCTTCTTCCTTTGTATTCAGAAAAAAATGTTACAATATATTAATTGTATAGATGTTACAATATATTACTTGTAAAGATGTTACAATATATTAATTGTATAGATGTTACAATATATTAATTGTATAGATGTTACAATATATTACTTGTAAAGATGTTGCAATATATTAATTGTATAGATGTTACAATATATTAATTGTATAGATGTTACATATCTCAAATATTTTTCAATCATGTTCATAAGTATGATATTTACAAGGTTAGAAGAAGCGTGGTTTAAGGCACACGATTTTCGATACATTTATCTTGATATGTTATTTGGTACTCTTACTTTGATACTTCTCCTTACGCTGAATTGGATTAATATCGATTTTGTTAGAAAATCAACCAAAAAATGTTAACAATTCATAAATTGTTATTTGATATTTGACAGAAAAACATGTTGAGTGTCAGACAATTGAAAATATGATATTGTTCTGGTTTTCGAAAATATTTTTAAAAATTTATAGAGACAGATTTTTTAGCAAATTTTGGACAAATAGCAGTAATCTTAGGACCTATGAACATATGGACGATCAAGGAAATTGAGAATATAAAGGAAAATATACTAACTATTTGAAATACAAATATATTTGGATATAAAAGCAAGGAGTTAAAAATAGTTTACTCTTTGTTAGCTTAACCCAAAGTACTAACACAAGGAAAGTTATTTCAGAGGTTTGCGCATTTTTTTATACTGCAGTGTACTGTATTTGGGCGGAAAAGTAAACACAAGACGGATGTCGAAGCCTGACATGGAATCCATTTACACAAAAATAATCTATGAAATATTCTGGTCTTAGGAAAATATTAAGTAAATTTTCAAAATTATCAAAATTAATGCTTTTAACCTCCTCGGATACTAAACGAACATTGATGCATCTATTCTTGTTTGCAAAGTCCACCCAGAGAGAACTGGTTTCAATATGTACGCAGAATATACGCGACCGCAATTAACTTGCCTTGCATTAGTACCCGTTTAACCCAAGGCTGTATATTAAAGTTGGTTACTCTCTATGCGCTCCAATGTACGGAGCACATCATATGAGTTTTTTATCTATCTTAGGAGCCGACATTTTCCGTACAATAGAGCGCATTGAGAGTAACCAACCTTATTATACAACCTTGGTCCAACTCATTATTAAATATTTACTCAGGACCTTTATCAGATTATATAAAACCGTCAAGTTTGTTCAACACTAAGCAGTATCACAGTCTAGTACAAACAAAAGTTTGATTTAAAAATCAGAATTGTTTTGCAGCAACAATAATATTCTACGGGATGTATTTAGAGTGGCATGAACCATTCACATTAGCACCCTTAAAAATTATGTACACTAAAAAATAAATAAAATATCCACTTCACAAAATCGATTATTTTCAACGATGGTCTCTCTATTAATGTGACTTGCACATTTCAACTAAAGAAACAACTAAAAACGACGATATCTTCCACATTATTGATCAGATAAAGCTTTTAGAACAGACGATGGGCAATAGGCATTAGGGGGGGGGGATTTGCAAGAAAAATGCAATTTGCTTAAAATAATTACATCGATCGTCAATTTGTATGTAAAAAGAAATTCGAAGAACAAGATCTTTTCTGACAGTTTCTAATTAGGGGTAGTCTTTGTTAGCTAACTGGCAATGCAAGTTTTGGCCTCTATATGCTCTACATGCTCTATATGCTCTATATGCTCTATATGCTCTTTTTCTGAAATCTGTTATTTCACTTTAAGCAAGCAATATGCTTCCAAATATTACGATGATAGTCATTTAATGAATATGGAGAGAGGTAGCTAAACTACGTAGTTGAACCACTTCTCTTGTGAGCTGGTTGAACTGGTTAAACTGTAGTGTCACTAAATTCAGTTTAGACTTTTGAGGCCTAGCTTACAGTTTAATGTACTTTTCCTTTCTAGAAGGGCTTCAATATCTCATGTTTATCATCAGCGGAGACAACATGAAGGCAGCCCTTTTATTTCTTCTTGGAGCTCGGTTCGCATCCTGTACTATAATAGAGACATTCTTTCTCAACAATAATCTAGATTTAAGGTTAGTAGTATACCAATTACAATAATCAGATGTTTATTACATAATAATTTAATTATTATTAGCTGATGAGCCCGGCGTAGCCCATTGAATTAAAAAAATTAGATACAAATTTTTAATTTGAAAAAAGAAATTTTTTTCTCATTTTTTTTGCCTATTTTATACCCATGGGATCCCTCAAAAATAGTCAGCCAATTTGATCCAGGTGTTTGGTCAGCTATAGCTTACTAGATATATGAGTGAAGAGCTTTATTAGAAAAATTATCACAAAATACGGAATCCTTATGTTTCAGGGGGGGGGATCCACGACTAATGGACCAGTAGGTAGGACGGTAGTGTCAGTCTCTCTTTGTTTTTGCTTCAGAATTCTTATTTTTGACACCTTGACACCTTGAAACTTAAACTCTTCTAAAGCATAATCATTAAGGTCTTTTTTATTTACAAGGGTTCATGCTATTCAGACCCTTCAGCCTTTTTAGTATTAAAGATGCAATGTGAATGTTTTCGATGGGTGGGTTTTGGTAACTGATAATTTGGTAACTAACATTTTAATAATAACTATTTGGTAACTAATAATTTGGTTATTCTGGAAAAAATGTATTTCTTGTAAAATAAAAATAAAAACTCATAAAACCTGAATCAAATTAAAGATATCCTTGTTAAAAAATTTAAAATTTTATTTGTTATATTTTACATATTTAACTGTAAATATATTTTCTAAGGCGATGATGCCTAAAAAAGAATCGCACCGGCCATTTAACCATTTGATTATGACGATTGCCTAGATATTATTGAGGTTTCTAGCTTTCGTGAACATTACTGGGGGTTTATAGACTTAGTTGTGATCCTAAACTAAAATAATCAGGGTATTAGCTAAAAATAACTTTCATGAACCATTTGTTATTCAGGAATACTGATAGTTTTGTTCCTGGAGTGGCTTCTATTGATTGTGTTGTGGCAGAGGAATACAAATTAAAACTTTGCATCATTAACCAAAATAAAAAATTTTGTTGTCATTTATTAAAGAAAAACTTGTAAATATGGAGACAAAAACTTAAAATTTTTAGAATCGCACAGAATACAATTAAATCTTTATTAGCAATAAAATTTATGCGATGGTATTTTGTATGATCAGACTGAGTTGGTTATGCCAGCACAGTTTACAATCTGCTATAGGAGCAGACCAATTAACTTTGTTTATCCGCTGGAACCATTTTCTTCTGTCATTTCAATTGGGAAAATAAATTCTAGATTTTCAGCACTGATTCAGGCAGGTTTATGTTTATCCTAGAATTAGAGAAATTTTTAAAAAGATAAATGAAATTTTAAAAAAATGCTTTTGTACGTTCATAGTTGGTATGTAACTCAGACAGTTCCTAATAGTTTTGCTTCTATTTTTGGGTAAATGTGTGTAGGGTATTGTAATTGGTACTTGGGAAACCGGACCCTGGATTGGGTTGAAAACAGAAGAAAACATCAGCTACAGCTGGCTTGCTACTGGACCAATAAGGTGAATTTATGACAATAATAAAGCTATGTAATAATGATAATTATAATGATATAATGATGATAATGATAATGATAATGATAACAATAATGATAATAATAAAACTAAATTTACAACTTGTATTAAAAAAAGCAAGTGAAGAGCTCAGAACATCGTCTTCTTTTACAGTTGTAAGTGTATCTAAACCAAATCGATAGGTTTTAACCCTATCCTGATTAGGCTATTTTTGTTTAATAAAGAATGAAGATGGGAGTGTGATGCATGTCCCTATTCCGACTTTGCAAGGCCTGCTAATTAAAAAAAAATTAGACCTTCAACTTTAATGGTTAAGGTGTAAGGGAGGATTTTAAAAACGTTTAAAAAGTATGTCGAAAAAATTTTCAAATATAGTTATTTTTACTTTTGACAAGTATTAATATATGACACATGTTATTATACCATTATTATACCATATATATATATACCATTTTTTAATGGCTTTTCAAATAAAGAAGTCTTAGCCCTGTAGCCTAATTAATAAAAAGTTATTAACCATTTCTGATATTTTCGAAACACCGACCCGCTATTTGACCGGGGGGGGGGGTGTAGAAAACATCCCCCCCTCCCAATCGTGATAGGGTTAAATAAATGATGTAAATTAGAACCAATACATTTTAACAATAGGAACGTAATCGATATATATACTTTGCTTGAAACGACTGAACCGATAGGGCCCAAATGGGAATGTTTATAGATGATCGAATTTTCAAAAAAAAAATTTAAAGAAAATTTGATCTTTAAAAATTTTGAAAATCCACCATTATTTTGTAAAATCCGCGAAATATTTTGTTTGTTTTTGTTTTACAATGTATAAGAAGAGAGCATGTTCACAATTGAAATAGAAGATGGGCGGGAAGCGCCCTAAAAGCCTAATTTTAATTATACTCTGTAAACGTAATCCTTTTTTTCTTCAGTTTTTCAATAAGAATAGCTTCTGAATATGTAGAAAAAGAAAAATAATACACATAGCTAGAGGCGAACACGACGAGGAGGGGGGAGGGCTATTTGTGCTCAGCCCCCCCCCCCTGGATCGGTAAAATCCATTTGACAAAATGCTAGTAAAATTTAGTTATAGAGAGAATAGGATACAGACCATAGAGAACATTTTACAAAGCAGAAGTTGTCTTCATTCCTTTACTCTTTTGAGATTAGATAACACTATTCAGGGCGGATATTGAGATTAGATAACACTTTTCAGGACGGATATTGAGATTAGATAACACTATTCAGGACGGATATTGAGATTAGATAACACTATTCAGGACGGATATTGAGATTAGATAACACTATTCAGGACGGATATTGAGATTAAATAACACTATTCAGGACGGATATTGAGCTGCAGACCTGGAGGCATTCCTGCCTTACTTTAGATATGGAAACTGGTAAGGGAATATGAAAAGTTAACTCACCAAGAATGTATTGAACGATAAGCAAAGTGGTTCTGAAACAACTTTTCAATACTTGAAGATATAGTGCACCCCCCCCCCATGTCTCCCCCCTTGCTTATGAATTTCATATGATCCTAGCTTGAAAATGGGTAGTCATGGTTAGTCCCACGTTTACCTGTGATTGGTTGTAAATTATGATTTTAGCGATTTTTTCCAATAAATGTAGAGTGATGTAGACCCAATCAACTGAAAATCTCAAAACTAAGCTAAGAAAATTTCCCGTGGCTCTCCCGAGTTCTCCAACTTAAACTTTAGGCAAATCGGTCCAGGGGTTCCTGAGTTATGATCGGTTAAAAAAAACTGACAGACAATAAATGCAGCATGCATAGATAGACGTCTTGTTCTTTCATATTCCAGGAAATGTAAGTGTCTACGCCAATGGAAAGCTATCCTGGGCCGGAAATGACCCAAACATAGTTCCGGTCGGAAAACAATGGAATGAAACCTTTAATACCATTACTGCAGGATGTGCTTATGATATTGATTATATTGGTAATGATAGTATTATTCTGAAGATTGGTTAAATAACTGTTGGTTTTAAAATCCTTGAGTTTAGACTATTCAATGCATGGAGAAGTAACTGATCTGCAAATGTACAGAGGAATTCTTGAACCTGAAAATCTTAAAGCTCTTACAGGCAAGTAATAATATTTATTCTGAAAATAATTGTTCCCAACAAATGTGACATTTATTTTTAAAAGCATGCACATCCTTCGAAACCGGAGATCTTGTGAACTGGAGAAATCTCAGCTTGAAAATAATGGGGGCAAAACAAACTGTTTTAAGAGAACTGAAAAGCTTAGGTGAGAGACTTTTTAAACCATCATTTTAAAAGCATATAATTCTTTTACTGCAAATTTCTCAATAAGATTCACGTTATCTTGAAAGGAGTAAAAATAGGGCTGAGTGTTGTTATAAGATACACGGTTATCTTGAAAGGAGTAGAACTAGGGCTGGGTGTTGTTATAAGATTTACGGTTATCTTGAAAGGATTATAACTAGGGCTGGGTGTTGTTATAAGATACACGGTTATCTTGAAAGGATTATAACTAGGGCTGGGTGTTGTTCCTGGGGAACAATCGTCATTTCACAGGAAAGACCAAACACAACATAATATTAAAAATATTGGAACGATCTATGAATTAAAGAATGAACAAACGGTAGTTGGTTGAAAATTTCAGACTGGAATTGTAGCATTAAAAATCAGGAACGCGATTAAAATTCGGAACTTGTTCCTTATCAAAAGAAATTGAATCTTTGCTGCAAACTCGAATTTTGTAACCCCTATATCTTTGAAACCTGGCGCTGTAAACCTTTTCTATTTCAAACTAAGACCACTTGATCTCACAGGATTTAGAGTTTGAAATAAAAAAGGTCTCCAACTGAGTTATTGCCACAAATTATAATATTAAAATACCTTTACCTTTGCACCCTGATGATGTGAACCTTTTATTTCTCAAACATAGACTTTTCATCTTGTAGAATTCATAGTTTTAAAGTAAAGAACTACGACATCCGATTTCAATGATAAAGGGATTAAAAAAACAGAGTTTGTTGCAAGAACTCCATTCCTTTGAGTTTGTTGAAAAAAACTCAATTATTTTTGATCTAATGAGGAGATGTCAGAGGGGGGAGGGGGTGTTTACCACGTGCTTTTTGAACTCCCAAATGTCGTCTTTATAATTTATTCAAGTAAATGTTATTTGAGAAGAAGGACATTTCCAATATTAAATCTGATTATCATGCTTTACAGGCCAAACTATGGTGTCTAATGTGAATTATAAAAAGTATATTTTTTTCAGAAAATGAGGTTTGCTACAGACCAGGAAACTCTTTGCATCTACTCCCATTCAAACTAAAAACCCCAGAACTGCGCAAATCATGCTCAAAGCTTCAGGGCAGACTACATGGATACAGTGTTAAAGATGAATTCGACAGAATCACAAAGCTAATGACTCTTCCAAACAGCTTAAAGGTCATATCTCAAAATTTACAAAGATGTTTCTGTAAAATTATTTAACCAACTTCCTCAGGTTGAAGACTGCAGGAGACAGACTGACAATACAAACACCTCCTTCAGGTAAAATAATCACATTTTTTACAGCAATAAAGTAGATAATCATTTATTAAGGTAACTAATTCTAAGCTAACAATTTTATCTAGGTTGTCAACTTTCCTTGCAAACACAGATGAAGACCGGGAAGGATTTTGGACTAATATGTATAATAAGTCTATTCCCACAGAATACTTTTCCTGGATGCCGAACAGACCATATGCAGGTTTTGGTCATAAAAAATTAAACTCTTGCATAGCTAACCAAACCCATGTCATCAATTTCTTCTCAACTTTTTGAATTATTCCTGATGAATTATTTGTATAGGCACTGATGTTTACAACTGTATGACCTTAAACATTAATTTTAAAATTATTGATGGAACTGAAAATATAGCAAGCATTGGAACTGGGGACGAAGAGTGTGCAGGAGGCTGGGAAGACTGTGGTATCTGTCAGGTACTGGGTTGGTAGGAGCTGGGAGGACTGTGGTATCTGTCAGGTACATGGTTGGTAGGAGCTGGGAGGACTGTGGTATCTGTCAGGTACATGGTTGGTAGGAGGCTGGGTGGATTGTGGTATCTGTCAGGTACATGGTTGGTAGGAGGCTGGGTGGATTGTGGTATCTGTCAGGTACAGGGTTGGTAGGAGGCTGGGTAGACTGTGGTATCTGTCAGGTACAGGGTTGGTGGGAGGCTGGGTGGATTGTGGTATCTGTCAGGTACAGGGTTGGTGGGAGGCTGGGTGGATTGTGGTATCTGTCAGGGACATGGTTGGTAGGAGGCTGGGTGGATTGTGGTATCTGTCAGGTACTGGGTTGGCAGGAGGCTGGATGGATGGTGGTATCTGTCAATACAGGGTTGGTAGGAGGCTGGGTGGATTGTGGTCTGTCAGGTACATGGTTGGTAGGAGGCTTGGTGGGTTGTTTTTTTTAAGATGGTACAGGGCTCCATTTAAATATTGTTTTTAAAGCAAAACGTTTTGATTGTAAGGTTATGAAGTGAAGGTTTTGATTCTTTTGATAGGTTCCTACGGGTGTTGTCAAAATCAGGGTGAGGGGTCTGTGCATGCTGACTCGATATGATCAATGGTATTTATATAATATCAATGTAAGTATTTCTTTTCTTGAAACGTAACCCCTCTCCAATCTGTATACTTTGAACTAGTATTGATAAGGGGGGGGGGATGTTTTCCACCTATCTCTATGATTTTACTTTAATAGTTGAGATTGAGTTGTTTGAAACATTACTCTGGTCCAAAACAATTAGACCTTTAACTTTAATGGGACGGGTCTACAAGAGAGGCTTTTATAAACGTTTAAGAAGTGTTTTAAATAAATGTTAAAAATAAATATTTTCACTTTTTATTCATATGACATATAAAGGATTTAAAAAAATCTAAATTTTAGATCTATTGTCCAATTAACAAAAAAGTTATCCACTGCATGAGAAAAAACGGTTTGCAGAATTTGTCCCCAACTTTGAAGTGGAAGAAGTGAAGAAGTTAAGCCATTCTAGTATAAGCCGTTTTTTAAAGTTAAAACAAAAACCACAAGGGGGTGCCCCCCCCCCCCAATGGTGATAAGGATTAAAGGGAGGAATGAATAAATGCATAGATAGGTCTGAATCTATTTTGATTTAATTTGTTTTAAATCCATGCTATTTTAACAAACAAAAAAACAAATTCTTTGACTGGAAGGGTAGAATTAATGAATTCACCAATAAGCCTGACTAGGACGGAATGTATACCATTCATTAGGCAGAAGCCAGAGGAAGTTATTGTGAACATGCCGCATTAAATTACAATATTGAATATATATCTAAAATCCGAATTTTAAAATTCTACCTGCAAGTAGATATGCGCATCATTTTTTGAACGAACGGAAATTTTTAAAACAATAAAAAAATTTTGTTAAAAAATGTATCGTTCTGAAAAAAAAAATAATTATTAACAAACGAAAAACAAATAAATAAAAAACAGAAAAGATCATGAACAAGTTTTTATGAAAGAATTTTTCAAAATCTTTGAAAAACCGATAATTTTGGGAAGGAACAAAATCAATTATATTTTGAACAATTGAAAAAAAACGAATGGGCCGTTTTTGAATGATGAACAAACGAATTGGAAATTTATGTGATTATAGAAGGATGGAACACCAATATTTAGAGGGACGTACACATCAAGCATTATATTCAATAGGGTTGGACTCAGGTAATATATAAACTAATTATGCAGACTTGATTTAATTTTAATTCTTAAAATTAATTTTGTTTATTAGATGGGAGTGGTATGACCGTACTTTAAACACAAGCATAGCTTTGATTCAAGCCCCTTTAAGTTCTTTATTATTAGGACTGCAGACTGTAGATTTTAGGTATAAGGCTGCCATAAAAGGATTAGATTAATTTATCCACATCAACTGTGCAATCAATTCTTTCTTCGGCATATCAGTAGTGTTCACCCTAATCAAGTTTCAAAAAGTTAAATTTTAATAATTACAAATCATCTTTAAAAGCCAGATTCTTTGTAAAAAATAAAAGTGTATAGGTGAGAATATCACAAAAATGATAATATTTGTTTTTAAGTAATGCTTTTGACGGAAAATGTATCAAAGACGGAGAACCTTTTATTAGACAAGTCAAATTTACAACTTGTGTCGAAGGTAATTAAAAATAATAATAATAATGAATAGTAACTCTTTAGCATCCTTCTGACTTGAGTAAGACTTGTAAAAGTATAACATTCCCTAAACCTGATTTCCCTCTAAATTCATTGATATAACAGAAAGAAAATTTATTTCAAAAAGAATATTTTCTTTCTCGAATATAACCGTTTTATATAGTATTTATATACAGCATTTATATAGCACATGATACGAACATCGAAGAAGTACTTTGGACACTAAAATATGTATTTTAGAGATGTACTAAAATAAGTTTAGCCTTTTGGTTGTGGTCTGTTGTATGAACCAGTTCTAAAAATACATAGATGAAGCAGGAACTGGGTTTGAACCCGGAGGATTATCTGAAGAGTTACCAGTATTTATAGATGGGGTTTGAGAACATGCAGTCAGACCTATATACCATCTCGCGGGGTTTACAAACTTATATATTATATTCAGTCATGTTTTTATCATTTACAATAAAATATACAATGATAATAGTATCTTAAGTTGTGCTTAGGGTTTCTAGCAAAAAGGAAAAATCGTTTCGCGAAAATTTGGCGAAAACAATAATGCGAAAATGCGAAGACAGTAACTTAAAAAGAGAGCTATTGAAATTAAATTCTCTTCATCAAACATTTATTAAAGTAAAGAAAGAGAAATTATTTATATGACATAGTAAAACTTCAAATATTGAGCTATCAGAGCAGAGAATTCCAAAAGTTCTTTCTGAACAAAATTTTCGCATTTCACAAAATTTGTTTTTTTCGCAAATATTTTTGCATATTCGCGAAAAAAAATGCTGAGTTTTTGCTTTGTTTATTTTTGCTAAAAAATGCGAAATTTTGCAAAAATGCAAAATTTGACATTATTGATCATAACAAATTTTTAGGACAATTCACTTGCAATAATGGCCATTGTATTGATATAGAAGAAAGGTAAAATACAAAAACCCAGTTTGTTGAATCTTTACTGAAATATTTTGCAACCATCACATTAAACTGATCATCTCCAGGTGTGATCAAACTTCCAATTGCTCTGATGAATCAGACGAAGAAAACTGTAGGTAAAAAAACATTATTCTGGAAAAATGAAATTATACATAACATATTATTTTCTTCTTTAAGGATGATAAGTAAGAAAAAAAACTACAACAAGAAAATTGCTCCATTTAAGTATGAGGCCGAAACTAAGGAGTATATCCCAGCAGACATAGTTGTATCAATTACTCTTAGGTAGTTAAAATTACTCTATTCCATTTAATTGACTTGAGTTAGTAACTGTTCTGATTATTAGAGATATCTTGAGGATTGAAGAGATTAACCATGGTTTTACTCTGAAGTTCTTGATGGAAATGGAGTGGTATGATTACAGACTTAATTATTTTAATCTCAAAGGTATTCAGTGATATTTAACAATTTTACCATTTGATTTATCAATTACAAGTTAGACTTTTTTAATTACAAAAAAGAATTGCATGTTAACAACAAAGTGTGTAAATCTAATTTTGTCTGTATTTTTTAACTATAAAACTGCCATAGTAATAAGAGTGGCAAATATTAAAATGATCTTCATTAACATAATTTCTCTCTTGATTTCAGTAAACCAATCTCTAAATGCTCTCTCTACAGAAGAAGTACAGAACATTTGGATTCCATTTATTTTGTTTGATAATACTGAGCATAATGATGCTACTAAAGGAGATGAAGATACAGAGATGACAATAACAAGGAACTAAACTGATATAAAATATAATCAAACTAGAAATTCAAGGCGCTTCACGCCATTCTTTCTAGGCTTTTAGGAAGCTTCGCACCCATCTTCTATTTAAATTGTGAACATGTTCTTTTAGTTCAAATTTTAAAACAAAGAAGAAATTTTTTTTGCAGATGTTCAAAAAAATTCGGGGATTTTCAAGAATTTAAATTTTTTTACAAAATTAAAACCTATAAAACACATTTTTTTTAATTTTTATCATTCGTAAACCTTCCCTGTGGTCATGTGATGTCCCACAAATAATTTGAGCCCGATTGGTTCAGCCGTTTTGACATTTATTGGATACAAACAAACAAACAGACAGGCAAACAGACAGACAAGCCAAATTTATATATAGATAATCAAATAAAAAAAAACTATCATTTCATATCTTTTGCAGGGAAGGGAATTACTCCATGAGTCCTGATACTCTGCCCGAAGAGATCAATATATATGATGGAGTTAATAATAGAATAACTTTTCGAAGGGTCTACACTAAAACTTTTAAGGTCCTCATATTATTATTAACATTAAAATTAATTGTTATCATATACAGTCATGCATCCCTTTAGAGGATTATTTAATTATCTAATTGTTATCAAAACCTGTTTAGTGTGTTTACCAGCTACAGATGTTTCCATTTGACTCGCAAACTTGTACTGTCAACATGAACCTTAGGTATCAACGTTATGAACTCAGATTTAATTTGAACTAGACTTTAAATCCAACACAGTAAAAATTTTGAAAATTCAATTTTTAACATACAGACAAAAAAATCCTGACTTTACTGTGATTGTATTTCTTAACAGCTTTTAATTATTCTTAATGCATTTCCAGGAAAATAATTACCCATCCTACCCATGCTACCCATGAGTTTACTTTAAAAATTTCAGACCATTTGGTCCAGTCGTTTGACTGGCTACAGGCCACAGGGAACATATATACAAATGTCTTCTTTTATCAAATAGATGAGTTTGTCATGCGAAGAGATTCCAGAAACAAAGAAAATTTTTCAAAAAAATTTATGTCATATTTGCAATTTTTTTTGTGTGGAAAATTTCGCATTTCTTGCAAAATTAATTTTGCAAAAAGAAGTTAGAAAGATGCGGAATTTCATGAAAAGAAATGTGCAACAAATTCATGAAAACTTGCAAAATTTTGCATTAATCTATTTTGCAAAAAATTACCATGTTTATTGTGAAATTTTTCATTTTTGAAAAAAATGAGAAGGGTTTGAGTCCAATTTCATTGGAAACCCTATTCATGTGTTTGGAAAACATCAAAAATATTTCTTCTATTTCAGGGAGTTGGATAGGTCAGCTGTAAATATTTCTCCAGGACAGTTAAAAATGGAGGGGGACACAGTTCTTACACAGGAAGAGATAGTTATTTTTGTGGTAACATCTTTGACTGTATCTATTCACTCAAAATATTCTTATAAATAAAGATTCTAGTTTTTACAGATGTGAAGCATTGATCCATTATCTTTTTTCATTTCCCTCTGGTATCTTGCAGTAATTATACCTTGCAGGGATAACTAATATGATGGGATCAAGTATACAATCAAGCTCTATCACCAGTTTTATCCAAATTTTTGCTTCTTTACATCATTTTGATAACTTCTTGTCAGTTGTTGGGATCCAAACTATCAAATAAATTTTTTAGTATATAATAGTTTATTGGAAGTTAGATTATATTGATGTTAAAAATCCATCTAAAGGTAAATTTACTATATTACAATCATATTTTAAATACTAAATATTTAAATTTTTCAGGATTAAATGTGGTGATAATTCTTCAAAGAAGAATAATCAACCAGCTTCTAACAACATATCTTCCCAGCATCCTTATTCTGATCATTGTTTACCTCACTAGCTTCTTCAAACCCTTCTTCTTTGAGGCAGTTGTTACAGTGAATCTGACAGCTTTACTTGTACTAACTACACTGTTCATCAGTGTTTCAGGTACTATGAGAGGATAATGATCACATGGATTAAGACTGCACTGAAAAGTAACACAAACTTTCACTGAGTGGGTTGAATTTTGAGTTTTGTAAAGGCTTTGCCTGTGAATTCACCTCACCTAGGGAGCTGGAACCCATTCCATTTAAATCCTTGACTTGAACAGATGTAAGTAAGATCTGAAGCTCATGCTACTGGACTGCTAACTGATTGTGCTTAAAGGGACTGTAAAGAAAAAATTATAGGGGGTACTAGGTGAACCCTAAATTTTTTTTCTGAGGGAAACCATGGATATCCCGGAGTTAACATAGACTTAAATAAATTTGACATTTTTTCCTTTCAAAATTATATTGCCAACGACGGTACTTGAGCTAGAGAATAAAGAGAATGTTAATCCTAAATCTTACTCAGATAGAAATATAGAGTAACATTTTAACTTAACAATAGAAAAGGTTTAATTTAAAAAGGTCCAATATTGATAGACTTTGTTCCTTGCAATTTCTCCATTTTAGTGACTTAATGATTCCTAGTTAAAATAATAAAGTCATCTTTCTCTGGTTGACATGCAATAATTAAATTAACTTCATCAGGTGCTCTACCTCCAACAGCCTATGTTAAGATGATAGATGTTTGGTTGATCTTCTCTCAAAGTATTCCATTCTTTGAAGTTTGTCTCCAAACATTCATTGATAGTATGAGGGAAGATGGTAAGTATCTATATATATCAGACTGTCTATCTGTTTGTTTGTTTGTTTGTTTGCTGTTGGTATGTCCAATAATTATATGAACCTCTTGAACAATTTACCTCTAAGTTTGTTTGTGCAACTTGGTAGAAATTTTCTTAGCTTTGCTTTCATAATTTTGATCTTTGACTTTAATAGAGATAGTTTTGTTTCCATACATGCATATTGCTAGAGATGGGCATAGTTTTTTTGAACACACAACATCTATGAGAATGAAAAAATTATTTAGAAAAACAAACAATGGACAAACAACTTTCAAAGAGATGAAAATGTTTGTTTTTTCAAAACCAACGAAAAATAATGGAGACAAATGATTTAAACCATTCAAAAATTATTGATTGCTCATGAAGTTTTTTTTTACTGAACAACAATTTTTTAACCAACTTTTTAAAAAACAAAATATTTTATATTGAACTAACAATTAAAAAAAAAACTTTTTTAAAAAGACATTTTTGTTCAAAATGAACGATTTCACTGATCGTCCAGTGAGAAAACAAATGAAATAGAGATGGATTGTAAACAATAATTTTGAGAATGAATGAAATCAAATTTTTACACAATGATTGAACAATGAACAAATGAAATGAAAAAAGTTGATCGTGCTCATCTCTAGGTTCTCAAGCTATTAATAGGATAAAATTAAATCAAGGAGAAAAGGAATTGAGTCAAATCTAAATTGTTTGATCTAACATAATTCATAGTTTGAATTATCTAAGGTCGACAACATTGGGATGGCAAAGATTTAGGGATTAGAAAATCAGGCAAATTCCTTTAATATATTTGATGAAGTGCGCTGAACTACTTACTGCTAATTCAACTAATTATCTATAGAGATGATGCAGAGTTTACACCTTTATGACGAAAAACTCCTGAATCACAAATTCAAGATACATGGTTGAACTGTCTCTAGACCTAGCTCTAATTCATTAAATCCAGTCAAAGCTTTCTTTCTATGGTGGATGATGTTTAAGATAGATTATACTGAATATCAAGAATATCCCATTTTACCCATAATAAATTAAAAAGGAATAGGATCTGTGGAAAAACAATAACTCTCTCTGATCAGTTAATATAGTGCTTGCTTTCTGTGCAACTTGGAGTTCTTGAGAAGCCATGTCAATATTTCTTAAATTCCAGTTATCTAAATATTTTTTATGCTGTTTTTCTGCAGATAATCGTGAAATAAATCATCATGGAACATCAGTTCCTGCGAATGAAAACAAAAATCTAAAAAAGAAAGATGAGTTGTTTTATGTCAGGTAAATGAAAAAATGTTAATTATACTTTATATCATCCAGAGGCGTATTCAGGAGGGAGGGGGGGGTGGCTATGGGACCAATGGAATTTATTGATTTCAAGGGGGTTTCAGGCCCCAACGTGTACAGAGACTCCTTGGGACAAAAAAATGTAACCTCCCCCCCTGGATGAATTCCTAACTACGCCCCTGATCATCTATTTTTTATCTCCATATATCTAAAAAGTATGCATCTATTTTTAGGCCCCAATCTTTAACAGATGTCAAATCTAATAACACAGAGCCAAGGATTAAATTAACTCAAGTAAACGAGGCTCTTTTAGTGGAAGCAAGAAAGGATTTCTATAGAAAAGGTTTAGAAAATAAATTTTGAATTAATAAATAAAAATTAAATTAATAAAAACATTTGTAGTGAGCCTAAAGAGGATGGTATGGTATGGAGAATTTACAGTAAAATTTCTCATCCCAATCTTTATAGTAATATTCTCTATTGTCTACTGGTTCTATGGACTCTCTCATTACCTAAATGAAGATTATGGTGTTTGAAGACTATAATAATTGAATTTATTTAATAAAGATTAACATGTTCTTATAATAATGATGTTACTATAGAATTCAGGCACAAACTATAATAGAATTTTTCCCCACGTTTATTTATGGATTAATGGAAACTCTAAACAATAATTCCCTGAAAAGAATTTCTTAATTATTGATTAATCAAATGATTTTAATGAACAAGGGATTTTACTTTTTACAAAATATGTCAAATTTATAACAAAAGACTAAAAAAAACCAAAATTAATAAAATCAAATATAAGAGTATTTCTTTAACTACAGGGTGTCCCACGAAACATGACAATAGCAAGACGACTTGAAAGTCGTCTTTGATATTTGAATTTATTTGTGACATTTAGTCTTCTATCTAATTTAACATGTATGATTCTTGAAACAATTATCACATAATTCTCCTAGCCCTGACATTTCCAAAAAGTGGTCTGCGTTTTTTGTGCTTTCAATATTACCGGAGATATAAAGAGTTTGGTTCAGATTTCAATTTTATTAAACAAAAGCAAAATTGTCGAAATCTGAACGAAATTGTTCATATCTTGGGCAATATTGAAAGCACACAAATTGCAGACCACATTTTGGAAATGGCAGGACTAGGGGAATTGTGTGATTTTTATCTCTAGAAATTTACTTCTAAAATAAGGTTGACAAATAAATGCAGCAAATTATAACAAAAATCAAGACAATATTCAAGTCGTCTTGCATACTGTCATGTTTCGTGGGAACTCAGCTTTGAAAATAAAGGACAACCACACCAATTTAGAACTTTAAGACCTAGCAAAGAACATTCTCTTGGTTCTTACAATTTCCATAATCAAAATCTAGGGGAAAATGGTCAGGAGTTCTTGAGACATAATCTGACAATACTAACAAGAGAGTATGCCTGTCAAACCTACCGATCCTGGAACACTACAGTTAAAGTTTGCTGGATCTAGCCCAGCCTTCACATACATGTTTTGTGAAGAACTTTACTAACAAATTCAACTCTGTAAAAGTTCTCTTGCTGAGAAGATTTGCCAAAGGATTTGAGTCTTTACCACAAACTCTGATTTTCTAATCCCTATATCTTTTTATTACAATGTTATAGACCTTTGATATTTCAAACTATGAAGTATGTTAAATCAAATAATAAAAGTTTAAAATATCAAAGGGTTACACTGTCCGATCGCAGAGATACAGGAATTAGAAAATTTAGTTTGTGGTAAAAACTCAGTTCCTTTGCCCAGTCTATTTTGAATAGTTGGAATCCACTAATTTGGCAAGTTGGATCGATATCTGCATATTCTTTACAGAGCTGAAAACTTTAGAATGAAATATCCAGATATCCCGTTGAATAATTAATCTGAAGATTAAAGTCATGAGTTTTCCAAGCAATATTTAATCTGGAGATTGAGAAAAAGAGTGGATTAAGCCTTAATCCTGATATCCACCATTCTAAAGTTTTCAGCTCAGTACGACTTTGGAACCAACATTTTAAATATCTCTGGAGAATTCTCTCTAAATATATTAAACAGCTCGCCAAGAGCCATCTTTAAAGAATTTGGGCCACTCACCATTACAGAAGAAGACGACATCAAAGAAGAATTAAAGTTGTTAGCTCACAGCTTATCTATAAATTGAATTACAGACATTAATAATCTCTAATCTAATATTTAAACCAATTTTATGTGCTCAACAAATAAATCATAATAAAAATAATATAAATTATGTTAATAATAATGACAATGATAATAATAATAATGATGAAAATGATAATGAGAAGATATTATCTAAAATATAAATAACATTGGTTTGAATATTTATTATACATTGATAGTAAAAGGCATCAAAGTACGGTGGTAGGCAATTATATCAATATAATGATATATCAATCTTTTAAACAGAATGAATACTCAAAAACATAAAAAAAAATGAGAAGCCATCAATCAAAAAAGCTTCTCTTTAATTGCTTGTAAACTTGAATTCCGAGAAAGCTTTTTAACAATTAAAACTTAAACAAAAAAATTCATCTTCATTATACTGATATGATACCACTGTACTTAAATGTAAGTCAGTATGAATGTGAATTATTTGGAATTTGTTCCAGTGACTTAAACCCGAAGTCAAGGAGAACTTTATTATTGATATTATATTTCTCTTACATAGCTTAATAAGAAGCTTTAATCTTTCCAAGATCTGAGATTTTGACTTCCACAAGGTGGCTGAGTTGAAAAGGAAAGTCTGAGTTGAAAAGGAAAGTCTGAGTTGAAAAGAAAGTCTGAGTTAAAAAAAAGAAAGTTTGACTTGATAAAAAAGTCTGAGTTTAAAAAGAAAGTGTGAGTTGAAAAAGAAAGTGTGAGTTGAAAAAGAAAGTCTGAGTTTAAAAAGAAAGTCTGAGTTGAAAAAGAATGATCCAGTATTTATAAATATCTTATGCATACAAATTTAAGAGCTTATATTTAAAATAACAAATTCAAGATTTTCAACATGCAAATCTTGTAGTTCAGATGTTAAAATTCCAGGTTAATGCAGCTCTGCTAACCCTCCCTCCTTCAGATTAAGAACTTACGGGGTTTTATTAATTTAAATGTTTTATTTAGTTTAACTATTACAATTTTTAAATTCCATAATCTTCATTTAGGTAGTGAGAGAGCCCATAGAACCAGTAGACAATAGAGAATATAATTATGAAAATTGGGATGAGACATTTAACTGTGAATTCTCCATACCATACCATCTTCTTTATGGTAACTAAACATAGTTTTAATAATAATTTTTAACTTGTAAATACTTCGTCTGGACTAAAAGTCTCTTTTGCTTTTGAACATACCGACTATAGAAATTTGGAATCATTTTAAATAAATGACTTCTAATTGTTTTTAATGACAAAAAAACTTTAATATCAACTTTGTAGCTGAAGCAACTCTTAAAATCAAAATTTTCGTAGAGAGAAAAAACTGCAGATTAGCAAAAAAACCTTGTTTAGTTGCTATTCAGCTGATTCAAAAATAAGTTAAAGCATCTGCATAAAAAGTTTGTATTAGTCAACTATCCTGCTTACAGTGAGTCCTGAGACATACCTCTTTTATAGAATTCTTTTCTTGCTTGTACCAAAAGAGCCTCATTTATTTGGGTTAATTTTTTCCTAGACTCAGTGGTTTCAGTTTTTACATCTTTCAAAGATTGGGGCCTAGAATACATGTTAAGTGTAATTTTTATCTATTCTTTATATTTATATACCTGACATAGAATAACTCATTTTTCTTTTCTAGATTCTTGTTTTCGTTTGCAGGAACTGATATTCCATGATGATTTACTTCACGATTTTCTGAAGCAAAAACAATTTGAACTATTTAAGTGTAGACGAACCACTTCTCTTTTGCGCCAGTTTGAGTTTAATAACTTTTAAAAGTTTCATGAGCAATCAAGAATTTTTGAACAGTTTAAATCATTTGTCTCTGTTATTTTTCGTTTGGTTTTGAAAAAACAATTATTTTTATTTCTCTAAACGATCTAAGTTGTTCGTCCATAGCTTGTTTTCCTAAATAATTTTTTTCATGCTCAAAAATGTTGTCCGTTAAAAAAAACTATGCCTATCTTTAGCAACATGCATGTCTGGAAAAAAAACTGTCTCGATAAAAGTCAATTTATAAAGATCAGAAAAAATTTAAAGCAAAGCTGAGAAAATGTCCATGGTTCTGCCAAGTTCCCCAAACAAACTTAAAGGTAAATTGATCAAGGGGTTCATATAATTATTGGACATACCAACAGCAAACAAACAAACAAACAGATAGACAGTCTGAGATTACTACTTTGCATATATATAGATACTTACCATCTTCCCTCATGCTATCAATGAATGTTTGGAGACAAACTTCAAAAAATGGAATACTTTGAGAGAAGATCAACCAAACATCTATCATCTTTACATAGGCTGTTGGTGGTAGAGCACCTTCATACAGTAATTCTTTAAAGGGAGTGTTCACGAAAGATGAAAGGGGGTATAAGGGGGTATAGGCTTAATGTGATAAAAAAGCGCTTTTAATCGCTACTAATCTAACTTCTATCTGTTGCGTCTATAAGGAGAAAATTGTTAAAGACGTCTCATACCGAATAACTTAGCGTCCATACAAATTGAGAAAATTGCAACATAGGACTTAGACCGTAAAAAAATCAATTTAATTTCAAACAAATCATTCAGATATTACAACCTATAGTCATCGGTTATTTTTCGCCACATTTGTATTTAGTTTATATTTATTATAATATTTAATTAATTTTATTTTTTAGAAAACTTTTTTAAGGGATTTCGAAAAATGTGAGTGGTGCGCGGCATTCTTAGATAGTTGCGCAAGCAAAAAAAGAAATATTCAAATTCAAAACAAATTAGTTAAAAAGGGACCGTAGGAAGGTTTAAAGGGACTGTAAAAAGGTTTAAAGGGACTTCAGGAAGGTTTAAAGGGACTTTAGGAAGGTTTAAAGGGACTGCAGGAAGGATTAAAGGGACTGTAGGAAGGTTTAAAAGGACTGTAGGATAGTTTAAAGGAACTGCTGGAAGTTTTAAAGGGTACTAATGTTAATTTGGAGGGCAAAATGTTAAGTCATAGGATAGTTTGTTTTCAGTTTCATTTAACAATTGGAAATTCTTAAAATAGCATTTTCCCATTTGTCAATTTTTTCAATGTGAACTTAATCTCAAATTAAAAAGGAAGTTATGGCAAAATGTATTCGATATATCACCAAAATGTGTATGGTTACAAAGAAATCAGGATTATAAAATTTGTGGCAAAATTTTAAACATAAGGTATGAAATTTATACCCATTGATTGTACCTGAAACACTGATGAACAGTGTAGTTAGTACAAGTAAAGCTGTCAGATTCACTGTAACAACTGCCTCAAAGAAGAAGGGTTTGAAGAAGCTAGTGAGGTAAACAATGATCAAAATAAGGATGCTGGGAAGATATGTTGTTAGAAGCTGGTTGATTATTCTTCTTTGAAGAATTATCACCACATTTAATCCTGAAAAATTTAAATATTTAGTATTTAAAATATGATTGTAATGTAGTAAATTTACCTTTGGATGGATTTTTAACATCAATATAATCTAACTTCCAATAAACTATTATATACTAAAAAATTTATTTGACAGTTTTACAATTGACATAATTTTTCCGCTATACATTGTTACTGAGGTCCTATATATTATCAGAGAAGCCTGAAATGTTAAAACTATCTAATCCTGTGTAAGAACAGTATCCCCTTCCATTGTTAACTGTCCTGGAGAAATATTTACAGCTGACCTATCCAACTCCCTGCAATAAAAGAAATGTTTTAAAAGTTTCACAAAAACATGACAAACGGTGAAAAAATTATCTATTAAGCTTTTCTGGAAAAGAACTGCTAACTTAGAATTTTTTTGGCTGAATAGAATTTATAGCTTGGAATATCAAAAGTCTACAATATAGTGTTGTAAATAAATATCAATTACTTAATCAATGTTTGGGGCAAGAACTCAGTTCCTTAATATAGAATACTAGGCTTTAAAGGTGCTTCACGCCCATCTTCTATTTAAATTGTGAACATGTTCTTTTTGTTTACATTTTAAAACAAAGAAAAAAATTTTGCCGATTAAAAAAAAAATCGCGGATTTTTTAAGAATTTAAATTTGTTTACAAAATTAAAAACAAATAAAAAAGGGCCTGATAGGCTCAGCCGTTTTGATGTTTATTGGATACAAACAAACAAACACCCAAACAGACAGACAAGCCAAATTTATATATAGATTTAAACAGCAATAAAATTTTCAGAAACTGTGTAATTGCACAAATTAACCTCATTTATAATTTACTAAATAAGTCTCTCCTCCGAACTTTATTTTTCTTATTTATCATTCGTGGACTAGATTCAAGAGTCATTGTTCAAGGACTAATATCCTTTCTGAAAGTTCAATAAAAATGAGTTGCTAATGGGTTAGATACCTTAGGTTCATGTTGACCGTACAGGTTTGGGAGTCAAATGGATACATCTGCAGCTGGTAAACACACTAAACAGGTATTGATAATGCAACAACTTTAAATGTTTTTATTAGACCTCATAGTAAGCTTTAGCATTAGTTTTTTAACCTTGTATGTATTTGAAGAATTTCCTATTTGATAAATGAAAATCTAAATAAAAAGTTTATTGGCATGTAAAAATTCAAAATCCCAAATATAAAAAGAATATTATTTCTCACTCAATGCCCAACCATAGATAAATGTACTTTTTAAAACAAGATTATTTATTTTGACCTTAAAAGTTTTGGTGTAGACTCTCCGAAAAATTATGCTATTGTCAACTCCATTGTAAATATTGATTTCTTCAGAAAGAGTATCTGGACTCATGGAGAAATTCCCTCCCCTAAAATAATATAAATGGTTCATTTTTGTCTTAAATGCAGTAATAATAGTTAAATTTCATTATTCATTGAGGTACCTTGTAATTGTCATCTCTGTATCTTCATCTCCCTTAGTAGCATCATTATTCTCAGTATTATCAAACAAAATAAATGGAATCCAAATATTCTGTACTTCTTCTGTAGAGAGAGCATTCAGGGACTGGTTAACTGTAAATATGAACAAAAATAGCCTTTTAACTGGCTAATTCAGCTTAAATAATGCAAGACATTTTCTATCTGTTTAAAATGTGTGCAGTTTTGCTCAGGATTAAGTTTTTATAGTATTAACGGCGTCAATGGTTTGTCAAATCGTTAACGGCATGAGCAGTTAAATTATATTTATCCTTTTCTGCAAACTGAGAAGTATCTAGATTCAAAATTCAAAGGTTACCACGATTTATTCTCAGCATTTAAGGTTGTAAACACAGAAGACGACATTTAAGAACATAAAAAACACATACACTTTTTTTACGAGTTAAATGCAACCAAAAAAAGAAATTCACTGTTTTTGAAAAAAAAATCCGCTCTGTTTTCGTTTTTAAAAGTTTAAAAATTAATGGCTTTTGCCCTTTGTTAACGTACTCTAATGTTAACGGAATGTTGACGGAAATTTGCCAAGCCCTAATTTCATGGATACCCTAAAATAAATTAAACAAGTATGGTCCTAACAGTTGGCCAGCAATAGCAAACATATATACAACTTATTAAGAGAAGAGAGCTTTGTTCTATAGATTTGAAAAACATTGAAATAGAAATGTACTACCTTTGAGATTAAAATAATTAAGGCGATAATCATACCACTCCATTTCCATTAAGAACTTCAGAGTAAAACCATGGTTAATCTCTTCAATCTTCAAGATATCCCTAGAAATACAAACAGATTATTACTAAACTGAAAGAAACCTTATTATTAGACTCTGACGGAATTGGAAGTTGCTGTTACACCAAAACGTGTACCTGGGTGTATCACATTTTAATTATGAACTTGAACAATTTATGAACTCTTTGATATGAATAGAAAATATCTTTTCTACAGTGAGAACTATATTGTTATTTAAAGGATATTTATTAGAACTAGCTAAAGGGTCAAAGTTGCGCATGGAAAAAAAACTTGGGGAAAAAAAAATTGATAATAATTTCAGCAGTTTGGCCGGCTATAGGCAAGATATATATATAAATATGACTTATTTTGTTATATAGATTAAATAAAATTGAACACTTTATTTGGCAGTGCTGTTAGATACCTGAGGGCAATTGATACATTAATATTTGCTGGGATATACTCCTTATTTTCTTCATCATATTTGAAAGGAGCAATTTTTTTGTTGTAGTTTGTTTTCTTACTTATCATCCTTTAAGTAAGAATTATATATTAAGTCTGCTAAGACTAATTTTGCAGCATTCTTTTACATACTTTTTCTTTTTCTTTCAATTACTTATTATTTGACTTATTATTTACCTACAATTTTCTTCATCTGACTCATCAAAGCAATTTGAAGTTTGATCACATCTATTTAATAATTTATGTTTATCATGAAAAGAAAAAAGTTTTAACTTATGGAATTGAAATGATAAACTTTTTCGATTTACCTTTTTTCTATGTCGATGCACTGACCATCATTGCATGTAAATTGTCCTTAATAAATCAAATTTAAATAAAGGTCTATATTTATAGGTTAGTTGGTTTATAGGTGCCTATTCTCAAAAACATTGAACTATTTATTGTGTACTTGTTAAACAATCATTTGGGAAAGAAAGTAAATTTTTCAAAATTAAATAAAACTTTTGGTACGTTTAAAAAAAAATTCTATCAAAAAATTTTCTAGTTAAATTTGTATATTGTACAATAGCATCCTGAGCACAAATCAAAGAAGTTAAGATACCTTGAACACAAGTTGTGAATTTAACTTGCCGGATGAAAGATTCCCCATCTTTGATACATTTTCCATCAAATGCATTTCTATAAAGAAAAGACATCAATAACTATCATTTAGAGTACATTTTAGATTTATAGATCTTTCTAATCTTGGTACGGAACAGAACAGAAAGGAAGGGAACTATTCAAAAGTAGGGACATGCCCAGCTCAAAGGCTGGACTTTGTTCCTGAGCATAGGTCGTTCTTTCAACAGAACAAACAGCACATAATGGAACGGAACAGAATAAAATGCAACAGAATGTTTTAAAAAAAGTTAATACTCACCCAGCTCTATTGGTACTACCTAAAGTCTACAGTCTGAAGACCTAGCAATAAAGAACTCACAGGGGCTTGTATCAAAGCTATACTTGAGTTTAGAGATCGATCGTACCATTCCCATCTAGGCAGGAAGATCAAGATATTTTAGACAAGTTTAGTTCAGGTAAAGTGGGTAAGGTTCTTGCATTTTTAGTTAATGTTTTAACAATTACCTTAAGCCAACTCTATTAAAGATAATGCTTGATGTATATGTCCCCCTAAATATTGGTGTTCCATCCTTCTAGAATTAGCAGAGTATAAGTTCATGTTTTTCAGCCATTTTTTTATTGTAATTTTGGACCCCCATAACAATTGCATCTTTAAATGAAGGAATACAATAAATCTTTCAATAAATCTTAATTTTTCTTTCATTGAAGACCAATACTTACATTAATATTATATATATACCATTGATCAAAACGAGTCAACTCACAAAGACCCCTCACTCTGATTTTGACAACATCCAAAGGAACCTATCAAAATAATGAAAACTAAAGTGTTTTCTAAAATTCCACTAACAACCCTTTCACATGACAGATACCACACTTCACCCAGCCTCCTACCAACAATGTACCTGACAGATACCTCACTTGACCCAGCCTCCTACCAACCCTGTATGTACCTGATAGATACCACACTTGACCCAGCCTCCTACCAACCATGTACCTGATAGATACCACACTTTACCCAGCCTCCTACCAACCATGTACCTGACAGATACCTCACTTCACCCAGCTACCTGATAGATACCACACTTAACCCAGCCTCCTACCAACCATGTACCTGACAGATACCTCACTTCACCCAGCCTCCTACCAACCATGTACATAACAAATACCACACTTCACCCAGCCTCCTACCAACAATGTACCTGATAGATACCACAATCCACCCAACCTCACACCAACCCTTTACCTGACAGATACCACAATACAGCCAGCCCCCTACTAACCCTGTAGATGACAGATACCAAACTTCACCCAGCCTCCTACCAATCATGTACTTGACAGATACCAGTTTACCTAGCCTCCAACCAACCCTGTACTGTATTTGGAATTTAAAACGGTCCACCCAGCCTCCCACCAACCCTGTACCTGACAGATACCAAAGTCTACCCAGCCTCCTACCAACCGACCCTGTACCTGACAGATACAACAATCCACCCAGCCTCCTGCCAACCCTGTACCTGACAGATACCACAATCCGCCCAGCCTCCTACCAACCCTGTACCTGACAGATACCACAATCCACCCAGCCTCCTGCACATTCTTCGTCTCCAGTTCCAATGCTTGTAATATTTTCATTACCATAAATAATCTTAAAATCAACGTTGAGTGTCATACAATTGTAACCATCAGTACCTACAGAGATAAATTATGTACCTACAATCTTATAAAGAAATTAAGTATTTTATTTGTGCAATGATTCAAAATGACCTGCATATGGCCTGTTAGGCATCCAGGAAAAGTATTCTGTAGGAATAGACTTATTATACATATTAGTCCAAAATCCTTCCTGGTCTTCATCTGTGTTTGCCAGAAAGGTTGACAATCTAAATTAAGATCTCAGCATTAAAGACCTGAATAGAAAGTATTGTTTATATATAATAAATGTGCCTGAATGAGGAATTAGTGTTGTCAGTTCTTCTCATACAATCCTCTGCCTAAAGATTGAAACTTTTAGGAGGAAAAACTTTAGAAAAAATATTTTCTGTTTAGACTAGGGTTTCCAGCGAACGAAACGTTTCAAGAAAAAATGAGAAAATTTTCAGTTGCATTTCATGGATTTTTTCGTGAAATTTTGCATTTTTTTGAAAAAGTAAATGAAGCAAAAACGAAGCGAAATTTCACGAAAATGCAAAAATTTTGTAAAAACTATGAGTTTTACAGAAGCAACAATTAAAAGTTTTATTATGTCATATAAATAATTTCTCTTCCTACTTTAATAAATGTTTGATTTCCCTTGCTATCTTTTTCTGTTTCTGTCTGTCTGTCCACAATACATACATACATTCAACTGTGATTATGAGCCAACCAATTACAAGAAAGAACCTTTTTAGAAAATTTTTGCATTTTTTGCTATCAAACAAAATGCAAAAATGAAGCAAAATTGTTGTGAACATTTTTTTTTGTGAAAAATGTGAAATTTTCACGACGAGATTTCCTTTTTGCTGGAAACCTTAGTTTGGACCTTTATGTTGTTTCCAGAAGTCATAAATTTAGTGATTCTACCAAATTCATCTTTATCATTGTAACCATGTAGTCTGCCAAATAGTTTTTTGCATGTTTTACGCAGTTCCGGGGTTTTAAGTTTGAATGGAAGTAGATGCAAGGTGTTCTCTGGTTTGTGGCACACATTGTTTTCTAGAGAAAAAGTTTACTTGAAATTCACATACATTTAATAAATAAATGATTCTAAGTGGTATTCAGGGTCTCAACTTGAATTATCATTAAAAAAAGGAACAACCTGAGTGATGAATTCAAAAATTAAATAAGAAATTTTGCCCTTATGAAAGGATTATTACTATGCAGTTGATTTTTTTACTAAAGACTCACCTAAACTTTTCAGTTCTCTCAAAACGGTTTGTTTTGCCCCCCTTATTTTCCAGCTTAGATTTCTCCAGTTCACAAGATCTCCGGTTTCAAAAGAATTGCATGCTATTCAAAATACAAATTATATTCAATCAAATAATGATTTACAGGATGAATATTATTACTCTTACCTGTAAGAGCTATTAGCTTGCCAGGGTCCATAATTCCACTGTACATTTGCAGATCAGTCACTTCTCCGTGCATTGAATAGTCTAAAATCAATAATCCAGAATCTATCAGTTTTTCTTTTAGTTTTCATGTAGTTTTATTCCAGTATATCTTTACCTACATAGTCAATATCATAAGCACATCCTGCAGTGATGGTATCAAAGGTTTTATTCCATTGTTCTCTGACCGGAACTATGTTTGGGTCATTTCCGGCCCAGGATAGCTTTCCATTGGCGTAGACACTAACATTTCCTGGAATATTCATCACTTTTTAGAAACTACTCTTCAGTTATTGTGTCACGATTGAAAAAAAAGTTAATGTCAAATGTTTGAAATTTAATTTGGCTGTTTTCAAGGTAAGTATACCAACCATTTAATTAAACTTTGAATACTTTCGCTAATTTCATTAAAGAAATTGTTAAAAAATTGAAAAACAACACATTTTGGGAAGTATTTTTTACAACACTAAGTGATATTTTCTATTTGCTTAATCACAATAGTTTTTATCAAAATACACAGAGCTAAAAAATGTTTACATGCTATTATACTATTCCTAATCACCCAACTGCAATATGGACTAACCAGAGGAAGCTGCATATGGGTTCTTTTCATAGTAATTCAATCATGTTTAGGTAAATAATTTAACTTTTAGAGTTCTCTCATTATTTTATTTTGTTTTAATCCCATCTGAAAATAGAAAGTTCAAACTGTGAACACAGCTGACTGGTACAAGGTCTAAACTGTTAATTTGCCAATCATTTCAAGACTGGGAAAAATAACAATTAGCACATTTAATAAAAGCAAAAACAATTTTCTTTCTAGTAATATAATAATGATTGGGATTATTAGATTAGTTAATCCTTACCAGTTTCCATATCTAAAGTAAAGCAGGCATGTTTCCAGGTCTGTAGCTCAATATCAGTTCTAGACAGTGTAATCAAATTATTAAATCAAATGAATTTACCCAATGTTCAATACTTATTGGACTAAAAATAAGACAATCTGCTTTTAATTATCTTCCATAACATTGTATTTAAATATTGCATAAACAAATAAAGATTAATAACAAAGGTAGTCAATAGTATAATGATCGTTATTATTATTGTCATTATTATCATGCTTGCATGTCTTAATGCTCCTTAATCACCGTAACTGTCCAGTCGCAAGCCAGCTGTATGTGTTGTCTTCTGTAGTTTTAAACCCAATCCAAGGTCCAGTATCCCAAGTACCAATAACAATACCCTAAACAAATATCTTAATAAAGAGTCTTGGACACAAACTAACATTTTCTAATCGCTATAAATTTGAAATATGATGGTGTAAACCTTTGGCAATTCAAACTTAGATTATTTGATATAGCCGAAATCATAGTTTGAAATATCTAAGGTCTACGACATCAGGTTGCAAAGATATACGGATTATAAATCAGAGTTTGTGGCAAAATCTTAATTACTTTGCAGAAAAAAGGTTAAAGTCTATAAGTAATGAATTCGTCAGGTATGAATTGGTTTAAAGGAAGTGTCGCAAAAATGAAAGAGGGTATAGGCTTACGTCGAAAAATTATCGATGGTGATTGCTACTAATCTTACTTCTATCTGTTGCGTCTTTAAGGAGAAAATTGTCAAAACAGGCTCATACCGAAGAACTCAGCAATCATACAAATTCATAAAATTGCAACATTCAACTTGGATCGTAAAAAATCTTTCAGATATTACAACCTATAATCATCGATAATTTTTCGACGCATTCATATATATTTGATATTTCTATAATGCTTTTTTTAATGATCTGCTTGAGTTACTTTTGAAAACATTTATTCTTGTTTCGAGGATTTTGGATAATGAAGACGAAATTTTCATATTTTCCAGGAATGTTCAAAAATTCTGCGCCAGTAGTGAAAACAATGAATGAGATTAATGTGTTCTATCAAGTACAATTCCAGATGTAAATCTTAGGGATTTCGAGATCATTTATTTGCTCCCATGGGTAAGGCGTGCACAAATATTCCACTCTATTTCCCTGTACTCTATTTCTTATAAATCCCCTTTAAAGAATTTCTTTATCACATTAAGCCTATACCCTCTTTCATTTTTCGAGAACACTCCCTTTAACTTAAGTCAGTATACTCCATAGTAGCCTTTTGTTTATTAGTTTTAGACTCCGACTTTTCATTCATAACAAATGATTAAATCTTGTGTTTAAAAAGGGTTTTAGCTTGAATAAAATGCAACCTGCCTGAATCAGAGCTGAAAATTTAGAATTTATCTTCCCAATGGAAATCATGGCAGAAAATGGCTCTGGCGGATATATATAGTTAATTGGTCTGCTTCTAAAGCAGATTGTAAACTGTGGTGGCATAACCAACTCAGTCTGGTCAAATCCAATACCTTTTTAAATAGAAATTAAGAGCACTTAAAAACTTTTCAACGGATTCATTTGCGGAGGGAGTTATAATTAATTACAACTACTTTACAGGGAAGTTAAGGGAATTTTACTTTACCAAGGGAACCCGCCGTGGTTAAGTAAAGTTTTTAATTTCCTGAAAAAGTAGTTGTACATAATTGTATCATTTTTTGAGATGAAAATGAGAGAATTTATTCCTGAAAACTTCGCAGAGCAGGTGGTTACTTTACATAGCTGTAAAAACTTAAAGTTACATTCTCTTAACTTCCCTGTAAGTAGTTGTAAATAATTATTACAAATACTTTACTGGGAAGTTAAAGGACATATTTTTCACGATAATAAATAAAATAGAACAAATTCCGTTTTCAAATTTAGTCCGTCTCTGTTTTTAATTTTTGAAGTTATTTAATAGTCCTTACAATAATCAAAAAAAAAGTCTACTTACAATGTCATGTTGGAACAGGTTGTACAAATTAAATTGAACTCTTATCATTGAAACTAATTGTTTTCTTTGTAAACTATTTCTCTAAAAGTTTTGCGTAGATTTCTCTTAATAACATAGTCAAGATAACATTTGAAGAAAGGAATTGAGTCTTTGTCACAAATTTAGATTTTCTAATCCCTGTATCTTTGGAACCAAATGTCGTAAACCTTTGATATTTCAAACTTAAATTATTTGATCTAACAGAAGTCTTAGTTTGAAATGTCAAAGGTTTCCGACGTTAGAATCTAAAGATATAGGGATTTGAAAATCAGAGTTTGTGACAAAGACTCAATTCCTTTGTATAGAAAATAAGGAATTCAAGCGAAAGAATCAAAACTTTTAAGCTATATATTGATTTTATCAAACATTTCTTAAAAATCATTAGTTTACTATTTAATGCTTTCTGTTAAAATCATTACGTTTCATTGTGCAAATTCCCTCTGTGCATCCGCAAATTGGCGTTTTTGTCACATACTTTCATGGAAAACATACTTTCATGGAAAACATACTTTCATGGAAAACATACTTTCATGGAAAACATACTTTCATGGAAAACATACTTTCATGGAAAACAATTCATATTTAGATCAATTAATTATCTTTACAAATATAATTTGAAATTTTAGAATTTTTAATTATTCTTAATAATTAGCCAGCAAATAGAGAATTAGAGTTTTAGAGGGGGGGTGGCATGCGGCCATCAGCCCAGCAATACCCTGTCCGAACCCATGTGGTTAGCGGAACCCTGCCCGAACCTTGCGGAATCCTTTTCGAGACCAGCTGAAAAAACAAACTTTTATTGTTAATTGAATTTAAAAAGAAATAATTTCAAAGATGAAAACGTTGGAGAAAAAGTTACATTTACTCCTTTTAGCTTAAAAATAAAAATAAATGCTTTAAAACTCTTTTTCAGCGTAAAATTTGTCTTCTTAGATTTAACAAAAACTTTAGATGGAATGATTACAGTAAGGAATAGGTGATATGTAAAATCTTGCATATAAATGTATTTTGTATGGTGTACCATAATGAATGATAAATAATTAGTTGCAAAATACATTTATATGCAAGATTTATACAATGCATGGGCTCATGGCCCCATAGCCACCCCCCCATCAGTAAACTCTGCGAAAATCGTGCCACAACTGGTTGTTAGCACCGACATTTGAATCACTTCTGAAGTCCACGCGCCTATTAGGGGAATTCTGATGGCTTTACGTTTTTGACTCCCAGTTTGTAAAATAGTTTATCAAGTTGTTCCATCCAGTTCTGTTTAGTAGGTATACATTGTTTATATTTAAACATTCAATCTGCAAGTGCATCCTTATTTTTCTCTCTTAGAATTACAAAAAAAAACATAAAAAAGAGTTGATGACTAAAAATGGTATTTTGAATTCCTCAGCTACAACACAATCAATAGATGTAACTCCAGGATCAAAGCTCTCTGTATTCCTGAATGAACAATATTATTAAAGGGACTGTTAGCGTAAATTCAAGTGACCCTCGTGAAAAGATGGCAATCGGTCCCTTGAAATCCGAATAAGAATGTGAGAGATTCCACCGTTTTTCCGAATCGAAAAGTGCTTATTTCTGATAATTACTACCTACTTATAGTTTGAAATACGCAAATATTTCTGAATCGAAGAGTGCTTATTTCTGATAATTACTACCTACTTATAGTTTGAAATACGCAACTAACTGTAAATAGAATTAGACCTCTAACTTTTATAGTTATAGGGTGTAAAGAGGATTTTAAAAAGTTCAAAAAGTGTTTCGGAAAAGTGTGTTCAAAAATAATTATTTATACTTTTGACGAATTTTAATATGTGACACATCTAATTAAATCCATTTTTCAAGGGCTTTTCAAATATATATTTTACCGCTTAGCTTATTGAAAAAAAATCTCATTTTTTTTAACACCTAACGGCCGTTTGACTGTCCTCCATCTTACCCTATGCATCAAAAAATAATTTTTGTTTGCAAAATTTGTTCGCAACTTTGATGTTGAAAATGTAAGCTGTTTTTAAGTTATTTAGAAAAACACAGATTAACCCAATCGTAATAAGGACAAGGGTACCAGGCTGTAAACTAGGTATTGCCATGTTTTACATTAAGGGTTACTTGAAATTATACACATACAGGTCCTTTAATGTAAAAATTCTCAATGCTTCCTTTGAATGTATTAGTTCTACTAGGTGTGGAAGTGGGATGAGTATCGGATGGCCGCCTCTTCCCCCCACACTAGTAGCATCCTGCTTCTTTTTTTTTAAATCTAACGTGTTTTCGTCTATATTTCAACAATCTTAAAGCTTACAGATTTGTTTATTTTATATTTTTTCATTCAAAATGTATATGCCAACAAAAAAATAATTAAGAAAAAAGGCTATAAAGTTATGTCTAATGGGTCAAATTGTGATCGAAAGTCACAGCTTTCTGAAATATTGACAGAACCGTTAAATCCACGTGCCCCTGTTTAGAGTCTAGAGATTATAAAGGGTAATTTTTATGGAAAATAGTAATATTGACATGGTTTGTCAAAGAAAAATTCAAAAATTCTTGGATATCATTTCCCCCCTACAGATATAACTTTATTGCTCGTGCTCATGACTATGGACTATTTCTTGGTGTATTATTATTACTATTTATAACACTATTATTTTGGTTTGCAGTGCCATGGAGTTTTTGAACAGAAATTTCACCTCATCGAGTCAACATATAATCCAAAACTTTTTAACACGTTATACAAAAAATTATTCTGTAAATATTATTTTTTTTGAAAAAATCATTACTTTATAGCATGGTGCCATAAGATAAAAGATAATACAAGTATAGAGTGGAATTAACCCGAAATAAGTTTAAAACCGCCATTTTCTTGTACTGTGTTCATACTGCAGGTATTCTTCACACATTTGTTTTGTGCTACATAACCTTGTGGGCCCTGAACAGCTTTATAAAGTTAAAAGTTTCTTGAAAATTATCTAATTTTCTCTAAATCAATTCATTGACAACCTGTCATGCATCCCCGAGTTTCAGCATGCTCTACTTTACATTTCCGAGTTAATTTCAGCATGCTCTACTTTACATTCCCGAGTTAATTTCAGCATTAATTTTATTAAAGAATAAGAAATTGTAACGGGTATGTTCAGGGATCATTCTGTATTATTGTAATGTACTGTAATGTACTGTAATGTACTGTATTATTGTAATTTGTGAATATTTACATGAATTGTAAACTTTGAACTCATTTTCAGGCTCAAAAGGACTGAACCGAGGCCCCGAGGGATAATATGATTTTCCTTCTATTCTGTGTATATGATTTACAGCTAATTTAACTTTATAGAACCAAAATTACTTTTCTATAGGAAGTCAATAGTAAAATTTACCTTGAAGTAGGTATGAATGATAAAGTACCCAATAGTTTCATAAACACCTTAAATCTAGATTAGTGTTGAGAAAGAAGGTTTCTATGGTAGTACAGGATACTAAATCAACTCCCAGAAAAGATAGAAATATCAATTTCATCATGTTTCTACCTGGAAAATAATTTTTGCTCTAAAATTTTCACAAACTTAACTTTTGTGTAGATTGACATTTTAGACAAATATTTCACAGGCAGGACATTTAATAGCTTTGACATTTTACATTCATAATTTTGTACCCATATTCTTGTAAATTATTTTAGCTTTTAACTGTTACTTTGAGAGTCGGTCATTTAAAATCATTTTAAAATTTTCCAGGATTTGTTTCTCTCGGCTCAGCTACATTTTGCCTAGTCACATTTTGCCTTGTCACATTTTGCCTAGTTACAACTTGCCTAGTTTTGCCTAGGTAACAGTTTGCCTAGGTAACAGTTTGCCTAGGTAACATTTTGCCTAATAACATTTTGCCTAGGGTAACATTTTGCCTAGAGTAACAAAGGAGCGAATTTTTCGCCTAGTCTTTAATTTTTCACAAAGAAATTTTCAACAATCCGATAATTTTTTTTAAAAATTCGCAAATTTTTTTTTAAAAATTCGCAAATTTCTTCAATAATTAAATTTTCTATAAACCAATCAGATCGAGAGACACATTGAAAATGGCTCCCATGATAACTGCAGGGCTTACCATGCGGGGTAAGCCCAACTACAGGGATAAGAATAACCATGACCTTACCAACAAGCTGCTGAAAATTAAAGCCACAGAAAAGATTGAGAAATAAGATAAATAATGATAAATAAAGATATAACCTGTACAAGATACAATTCAACTGTCCTATAACATTTAATTCATTAAAATTGAACTGGTTAAGCTAAAAAAAATGTTTAATTTTTGACAACATTTTTTATGAAAAAAACAATAGGCAAAAAACATGCTCTTGCGTTACCTAGGCAAAATGTTACCCTAGGCAAAATGTTACTAGGCAAACTTGAACTAGGCAAAAAGTTACCTAGGCAAAATGTTACCGAGGCAAAAGTGAACTAGGCAAGTTGTGACTAGGCAAGTTGCGACTAGGCAAATTGTGACAAGGCAAAATGTTCCATAAACCTTCCTTGGGGTCATGTGCGGTCCCACACAAAAGTTGACCTTTATTAGATACAGATTAATAGAGAGACAGACTCAATTAAAAGATAGAACATTTCATAGATATGAACATTTTATAGATATGAAATGTTTTGTCTTCGAAAATATCAAATTTTCTAACTAAGAACGGTTCTATTCAATGTCATATCATGATTTTTTTCATGCATTAGAATTATCTTTAAAATGTCCTATGCATGATAAATGTACTTTCTATGATTTTTAACTTTGAAATGTCCCAACACCATGCATCTAGGATCTGAAACGAGATTTAAAAACATTTACTGGATATAGAAGAGACTATTAAATGTTGAACCAATTTAGACGTTTTATACACAATGATAAAGGTTGTTGATTAATATTTAATAAAGAATTGAACCAAACAACTTTTAATCTAGTTTCTAGTTATAATCGGTATAAAACAATTCCTGTGCACATTAATACTGCAATATGAACTTTATAGTTCAACATAATTTCTTACAAAAATTTCTAAGAATGATCTTATTTGTTTTTAACTAATTTTTTTCCTTCGAATTTTATAACACCTGTGGATATTCTATTTTATGAAGTGTACATGAATGCCCAACTCAGATATACGCAAATTGTGTACTGTACACTGTGGGAGGAATGTAAACAAGCCCAGTGCCCCCAAAGAAGTTGAAGGGAAAGGACTAAAGCTCTGATGTGATATTACAGTCCAACCAAAACAAGTTAATATATCAAGTTAGATCGAATAGATATTATTTTTGGCTTTCTGGTCAATGTGGAAAATACAATAGCAATATATTTTTATTCCACCCCTTTGACCCCTTTCCCTCAAAATTGATGCGTTGCCCCTGTGCTCTTTGTTTTGATCTCCTCCCACTGCAGTACACAGATTTGACGCATGCGAAATGGCGGTTCCTGGTCAATATATTTCTTGAAGTGTACCCGCTCCTCGCCCTTATAGGAAATAAGAAAATGTGTTAAAGTTAGTTAAATTGAATTAAACTAAGAATTTGTGCAATGATCGTTTTTAAAGGAATTGAGTATTCGACGTAAACAAATTTACAATTTTTTTCAGACTATGCCATTGTGTGACAATCAAAATAATTTTGTCCCCCCTCCAGAACAATTAATGAAGACTAGCCAAGACAAATATTTGGATAAATTTTCAATTTTTCATAAATTTTTAAACCTATTTTTGAAAACATTTGTCAATCCAACAAACATATTTTCAATTTTCTTCAACAATATTTTCCCTGTCACGTTCTTTAAAGTTTATAGATTAAATATTGATCAGACGAAATGATCTTTAAAAACAGAAATTATAATGTGATTTTCGAATTCCTTATATCTTTGCAACCCACTGTTGTAGAACTTAGGTATTTCAAACTATGAATTCTGTTATATTAAATAAGTTGATAATTCAAAGTTTTAAGTTTCAGTGGTTTACACCATAAGCACATACATTTCACTAGAAAGGATCATTCATTTTGCGTACAGTCCCTTTTTGCCTCATATAGTCTGTATTGTACTGTACTGCTTGCCCTGGCTAGTTGAAATTCGACCCGGTACATGAAATGAACTGGCATGTACCGTGTAAGGTTCCAAAGTTATAAGGATGAGAAAATTTTAGTTTGTTGCAAAGACTGGATTTCTTTATGAGTTTATATCTTTATCAATGTGTCTGAATAACAAAAACCTGAGTATCTTAAATGGTAAAATCGTAAAATAAAAATAATTTATTTCCAAACAAATCATTCAGATATTGCAACCCAATTGCAATCTGTACTCATCGATAATTTTTCGACGCAATGTTTTCAAAAAAAAACTCTCGGATCATAAGAAAAAATAAATATTATGAAATTCAACTATTTACGAATGCGTCGAAAAATTATCGATGATTATTGGTTGTAATATCTGAATAATTTTTTTGCGATCCGAGTCGAATATTGCAATTCTTTCTGAATTTGTATGACGCTACGTTTCTTCGGTATGAGTCGTTTTTAACAATTTTCTCATTATAGACGCAACAGATAGAAGTAAGATTAGAAGCGATCACTATCGATAATTTTTCGCCGTAAGCCAAATAACCCCTTTCATTTTTCACGAACACTCCCTTTAAATTCTTCCCCCATGACGTTTATCTCCTGGTTTAAAGTCCAGAGAGTCTTTTCACCCATGAAATGTAAATGTTTTATATTTGCTTTTAAATACTTTTGTTGAGCTATATACTTAAAATATTTAATTATATTAATATTGAGTTATTTTTGACAGATTTCGAAGAGAATTTCAAAATATATGCCTCGAATTCGAATAGTTTTAAACGCCTTTTTATTCTTTCTTAATTCCAGGAATGATATTTAAATCATTTCATTTAAAAGTTTACATTGTGGATATTAAGTTATTACCCAACTGAAGCTTAGCAGTATCACAAACAAAAGTGTCGCCCTGAAGCCACAAAAAACAGTAACAAATTACACATTTTTAGCTGGTATTTCCGATTAAAAAGGAGACACAACTCGATGACAAAGGATTTTGAATAATCTATTTAAATGATTTCTAAAAAACAAGAAAAGTTGACTAGATACTTTATTTCTCGATAAATATCATTTTTATAAAAATGCGGATTTCTATATTTACAATGTTTATATTTTTGACACACTTTACAGGTAAACTTGATTATGCAGGGTGTCCCAGAATAAAGAGCTCGTTTCCCATGGGAAAGGGTATGCGCTTAAAAAGTTTTTTAATCTGTATAAAGTATACTATTTGTATATGTCCGATCATAACTACGGAACCCTCTTAACCGATTTGCCTCTAATTTTGATTTGGCACGAGGATGTTCTTAGCTTGGTTTAAAAAGTCTTATTTAAATAAGGTGAACTCTAATAAAGAAAACTTTGTTTTTAGGAAAAGTTTTGTCCCCAGGCTAATTATTTGTAAAGTAACTTAGATAGATAGATAGATTACAGGGTTCAAAAGGTTGCAAATTCTCGCGCAAAAATCGATAAGAATTTTACCTGTCACTGCTTAAAAACTAAAGCTAAAACAATTGCTATATAGACAGTTCTAAAATGTACGTGTCTATTCAAAAAAGTTAATCAGTTAGATCAAAGCCCAAGGCGTTGAGACACTTTAAAGTCGACCCCGTCTTAACAATTGATTGAACTATTGAGTCGAGAAAGTACATATATATTTAACATCATTATTAATGAAAAACAAGCACTTTATTTAATCTTATATGATGTGGGACACCCAGTATTAATATTAAATTATAATATTTAACATCTATTTACAACAAAGGAGTTGAGTTTTTGCCACAAACTCTGATTTTCTAATCTCTATATCTTTGTAAACCAATGTCGTAGACCTTAGATATTTCAAACTAGTAATACTTACAGATAAAATAATCTAAGTTTGAAATATCAAAGGTTTGCACCATCAGGTTGCAAAGATATTGGGATCAGAAAATTTGAGTTTGTGGCAAACACTCAATTCCTTTTAAGAACTTGATTTCATAATTTCAAAATTGCTTTTAGAAGTTGTTTCAGAATTAATTTTTGTTTTGTAATAATTGCAAAATTTTGCCACAAAATTTTATTTTTGATCCTTATATGTTTACAACCCGAGGCCGAATTTAAAGAATTTGAGCCGAAGTTTAAATTTAAGCCGCGACTCAAATTTTGTTAATTCCACTTAAATTTGTATTAAATTTTTCAAGATTTAAGCCGGCACTCAATTGAAACCGGATTTTGGGGATTTGAGACGCTGCTGAAATTCTTAAACCTTTGATATTCCAAACTATGAATTCTGTTAGATCAAATATTCTAAGTTGGAAATACAAAGGTTTATACCAAGAGGTTACAAAGATAAAGGAATAGAAATGTTTTACTTTGCGGCAAGATCTCAGTTCGGAAAGGGTATTTTAATGCATTTTCCAGGCCAGTTAATTTTAGAAAATTTTAGTCAAATCTTTTTTTTAAGGATAAATAAGTATTACTGATACATACATGTTCACAAAATTACTTACTAGTCATATAAACTCTCTACATGCAAAACATTTACAAGTAATTAATGCCAAAGTCAGTGAGCCTTGAAACCAATAAACTATCGTAAATTTTAGTAGTTTTTTATATTTATATTATTTTTATCAAGCATAAATTAATTTTGTACATTTTTTCTTTAAAAAAGCATTGAAGAAAATTCAAAGCAATTTCCATTTAAAATCAAGTGAAATTTTTTTTGAAAGTTGTTAAAAGTAAAACATAAAGCAATTTGCACAATTCATTTGCTCAATGAATTTTTTTATTTATTTAGTTTCTTAGGTTTGCGCAAAGAGTGCGCATAATCTATGATTTCGAGGTATTGCTAGTGCAGCTTAAATGATCTGTGCGTAAGTCATACCATAAATTGTATATATATATACAGTCAGCTTCCAAAAAGAACTTTAAGCTTAATTTCATGGGACCCTCTGTTCAAGGTTTTAAGGGGGTATCGTTTTGAATCAACCATTGCCATCATTTCTTCCGGGGTTGCTTGAAATTAGGTTTACAGTCCCTTTACAGTTTTGAGAACTGACTCTTTGTATCTCTTTTTGTTTTTCTCTTCTAAAAATATTGTTGATCTAAGGATTGCATATTTGGGAAACTAGAGTAAATGTTCAGAATTAAAGGGAGTGACCGGCTATGTAAGGTAGTTGCATACTCAGTTAAACTACCTTACATAGCCGGTCACTCCCTTTAAATGAAAAAACGGCATTTGAATAATCAGGCTAGCAAAGTTGTATGTCTACACAACCCTGCCATATATGTATTATAGCAAGGAAAAACGATGTGCCACCAAGTTTCTACGCTCTTCCAAACTTGAATGGGATTCTGTCATATATGTATTATAGCAAGGAAAAACGATGTGAAACCAAGTTTCTACGCTCTTCCAAACTTGAACGGGATTCTGTCAAGACCATACTTCTTCTTCTTTCCTAGACTCTCCTCACTTTTCACTCTAGGCAAACAAAATGTATGAAAACAAAATATGTTCAAAAATAAAAATGAATGAAAACAAATGAAAACCAAAATGAAAAAGAAAATGAAAAGATGTCAATTTAAAAATAGCTTCTGTTTGAACACATGTAAACTTTTCATTTGAAAACACCTTGTCAACAGTCAAAACTGAAATTAAAATCGTCTTTACTGCCTTAATAAAATCGCCTACCACTGTTTCTGAAATTGTACTGTCATGTACTGTAGATTTGTACCTGTAATTGTACTGTCGTGTACTTCAAGTTTATAGAACTGCAAATTTACTATCATTTACTGGATACCTACTTACATGATATTGTACTGTCATGTACTGTACATTTATGCACCTTCTATTGTACTGTCGTGTACTGTATATTTATCTACCTGTAATTGTACTGTCGTGTACTGTATATTTATGTGCCTGTAATTGTACTGTCGTGCACTATATATTCATGTACATGTAATTGTACTGTCGGTGTACTGTATATTATGTACCTATAATTGTACTGTCGTGTACTGTATATTTATGTACCTGTAATTGTACTGTCGTGTACTGTATATTTATGTACCTGTAATTGTACTGTCGCGTACTGTATATTTATGTACCCGTAATTGTACTATCGTGTACTGTATATTTATGTACCTGTAATTATATTATCGTGTACTATATATTCATGTACCTGTAATTGTACTGTCGTGTACTAGAATCCCAAGTGTTTGCCTCCTTGTTAAAAGAATCCCTATCTCTATCCAAATCATCCCTGAGAAGCCAAAATATTGAGGTTCAGATCTTTTTTCAAACAAAAAAAAATGTAGCTTTCTAGAATACGCTTTAAGAGACTGTTAATGATAACAATTTCTAGAATTCGCTTAAAGGGACTGTTAACTTTAACAATTTCTATATTACACTGAAAGGGACTGTTAACGTTAACAATTTCTAGAATACACTTAAAGGGACTGTTAACGTTAACAATTTCTAGATTACACTTAAAGGGACTGTTAACTTGAAATTAAAAGAGTGACGAATCAAAATTGAATTTGAAATTGACCGTCACAAATCAAACTTCTGTCTGTTTAAAATAAGAAATTGATAAATAAGAGCTTTAGCTAAAAGGGAAGGAAAACGATGAATAAAAACAAAAAATTTAAATTGAGAATTGAACTGACTCTTTGATGTTTGTTATTAAAAGATGTCGGTTTGAAATTTGAACACTCTTATTAGAAAGGAAATAATTTATTCACTGACTTTTCTTGATTTAAAAACTACATTCCCGTACCTATAGATTAAGAAATATAAAAGTTTTTTAAACAAATTTTGAACGTAAAATGTCAGGCTTTTTTATAAATACTCTTTTCAAAAATGTATTCTCAATGAAGACAACTGAGGATGAATTATGAAGGATAAAGAACTAATTTATCATCATAATCATTCTAATATTTTACTAATCTTCCAAATAAAGTTTTTACAACTCTATAAACCGCGGTAGATTTTGTACTACATTGTTTCATTGCGTGGCCGGGTATTGCGGTTGACCCAACAATATTGACTTTCCTAAGTTTTTGAAGTCGCTTGTTATCCTTGTCCAACTCCTTCATCCCTGCCTCCTCTTCTCTTCTCATCTTCTCCTCCTTCTCATCAACCTTCTTCCTAAACACAATTCTTTTATCCCTCCCTCCTCTTCTCTCCTCATCTTCTCTTCCTTCTCATCAACCTTCTTCCTAAACACAAATTCTTTTATCCCTGCCTTCTCTTCTCTTCTCATCTTCTCCTCCTTCTCATCAACCTTCTTCCTGAACACAATTCTTTTATCCCTGCCTCCTCTTCTCTTCTCATCTTCTCTTCCTTCTCATCAACCTTCTTCCTAAACACAAATTCTGTTATCCCTGCCTTCTCTTCCCTTCTCATCTTCTCTTCCTTCTCATCAACCTTCTTCCTAAACACAAATTCTGTTATCCCTGCCTTCTCTTCCCTTCTCATCTTCTCTTCCTTCTCATCAACCTTCTTCCTAAACACAAATGACAAACTTAAACAAATTTTACTCTAAAAAAATCAGTAATTATAAAGTATTTGCTGGGACACCCAGTAGGCAGTAGTATATTGTTTATCTAAAAATGATAAATTGAAAGAAGGACTGCCGCCATTCGAGAATATCTTTAAGAGAAAATGAATAAACCAAATCTGAAGATCAATCAATCAAATTTACAATTATGGATTCGGGCCAATTGGCCNATGGACGGGTGGGAGGGGGCTTTTAGTTTTAAAATAAGAAGATGCAAGATTAAAGGAATTGAGTCTTTGCCACAAACTATGATTTTCTAATTCTTATATCTTGGCAATCCTACGTCGTAAACCTTAGATATTTCAAATTAAAAATTCTGATATATCAAGTAATCTAAGTTTGAAATATCACAGGTTTACAACATCAGGTTGCAAAGATATAGGAATTAGAAAATTTCAGTTTGTGACAAAGACTCAATTCCTTTATTCTGTATAGTCTATGCTGACGTTGTTGAAGATTCATGTTTTGTTGGAAATCCTGAAGAAAACGAAAATCTTGGATAAGTTTAGGGTTTCTTGTGAACTACTGTTCTAGGAAATTAAAATACAATTTTTACGTATCTGTAAATATTCCTTTGTGGTAGAGTGTTTTTCAACTGCTTCAAAAAAAGCTTGATGGTTCTCAGAGAAAATATATTTCGATATTTTAAATATTTTTACGTATGCTCTAAATCTAAAGAAGAATGCTGGATGTGACATGACAAAAATCGATGGAAATTTTGCCAATTACTACTAAAAACTTAAAATGAGTGCTCTTGTTCTAAAAAGTACATGTCTAGGGTTGTAAAAAGGTTTATATGAGTTACTGAGGTAAAACTAAAGGCAAAGGCGTTGAACTTCCTAAAATCAATTTAGTCTTCAAAACTTATTTATCTTTTCAAAGCATTCTTAATCTCTGTAAATACATGACTAAGAATGTTTGTGTGATCAATGTTTACCTGAAGACCTCTTCCATCTCCTTCTCCATCCTCTCCACATTAACCTTGTGTTCCCTCGACTCATGCTCCATCTACACATTAAAATACATTCAATTGTAAATATTAAAATAATTGACAATAATGTCATTTAAATCTTAATCTGATTAATAACATATGGCAGATATCGCTCTTCTCGCTTGAAAAGTGATTAATTTGTATTGTTTCTGTAGCAGCAAACATCCGCAAGTCAACTTATAGAGAAACTCATATATTTTATTTTTAGTTTACCAAACTTTTCATGGTATTCTTGTAAATAGGACATGCCACTCTATAATTTGAGGATTATTTGAAATTACGACTACAGAGTCCGAATTTGATGAATTTGAGCCGCGTCTCAAATCCGCCAAAAACCGGTTTCAATTGAGCGCCGCCGGCTTAAATCTTGAAACATTGAATACAATTTTAAATGGAACTAACTACATTTGAGCCGCGTCTAAAATATAAGCCACGGCTCAAACTCTTTAAATTCGGCCTTTGTTAACGTTATTTTAAGAGATCCTTCAATATATCGACGATCCTCAATCGCATGTTCATTTCTAGTCTAATAACCAATCTTCGACATTTTCCTGTGCGTATTTTATGTAAAAAAATCAAAATTGCATTGATATCTAATACTTCTGTCTTTCTTTGAAGCGTAATTTCAAGTGACCCACCATTGCCAAATTTATCAAAAATGTGGAGAATATTATCGTTTTACTGAATCGAAAAGTGTTTTTTTTTTCTGTGAGCTTCTCTATTGTTTCTTATCAACAAGAAATGCGTAACTTGCAAGTCACATTCGCAGAGAAACCGCAATTAAAAAGATGAACAGTTTTAAGAAACAAAAACATCAATATCTCTATTCATACTTAATCAGACAAAGCGATCACGGGTATCGTTGTGAATCAGGCATTGCCATTTTTGCATGAGGGTCACTTGAAATTACGCTTACAGTCTCTTTAAATACAAATAAGGATTTGTCAAAAATTGTAAACCACATTTAGAAAGCTCATCAGAAGACGTACACCGAATAATTATTTTTTTTTGGGATACCCGGCAAATTTTAGTACCCTCCTTTATCATCTGTTCTCTTAAGATTCCCTTAAAGTAATTCTTTTACTGGTTGTAATGTTTACCTGAGCTAAAGAATGGGTTTACCTGAGCTAAAGAATGGGTTTACCTGAGCTAAAGAATGGGTTTACCTGAGCTAAAGAATGGGTTTACCTGAGCTAAAGAATGGGTCTACCTGAGCTAAAGAATGGGTTTACCTGAGCTAAAGGATGGGTTTACCTGGACTAAAGGATGGGTCTACCTGGACTAAAGGATGGGTCTACCTGGGCTAAAGGATGGGTCTACCTGGGCTAAAGGATGGCTTTCCAGTTCCTCATCTTCCTCCCCCAGCAGAGAGGTAAGCTTCTTACATCTAAACAAACAGACAACATTTTAGAAAAAGGAAGAGAATAATATGTAAAATAAAAAACCCATTTTAAGTTGAAAACCTATGGAAGAAGTTTCCAGAACAAAAATCTGAATAGTCCTAATTTTAAAAGGTCTGTTTTTTTGGTTTCCCTTGCCAGTGACAGTTTTCATGAATAAAGTCTTTGAATGGTAGGCTTTTTTAAGGAAATGCATTCGGATTAGGATTTTTTCACTTCACCAGACTTTTTCCAGATAAATCTCTTGGCCTTTTCCGATCCAAAAGTGTGAGAAATTTAAAAGGAAAAGAGAGAGTTTTTGAGAAGTTTTTTAAATTTTACTCTTAGAGAGTTTTCAATTCCCCCCCCTCTCTCTTAATAACCCTGAAAGGTTAACCTGTATGTTTCGTAGTGTCCTGTGTTAGTAACATCTTTGAGGTCTTGCATATGATGTGAGAGAAGGAGGCTGCGTAGAGCTGTGAAATCACAATGGTTTCTGTCCTCTATATTCACGGTTCCCCAGGGATATTGTCGGCATCGAAACCTTCTCCCCTCGCTATCCTGGAATTATTTAAATGTCGTCTTTTTTCTCAACTTGAGGATGCAGTCCCACTTCATCGTAGTGAACTTGAAATAAAGTTTTAAATTTGAAGATGATAGAAAATTTCCAATAATTGGATAATTTTTTTTATGTAAATAATGATAAAAAATAAGGTAAACTGTCCAGCAGCTGAGGATAACCATGAAAAAAAAGTTTCTAATCCTTCAAGGAATATCAATCTTTAATGAATAATAACAACAAGTGTGGAAAAGGAAGACGACTTTTGGACTCATGTTGTGATTTTAGGTAAAAAAAATGAACATAAACAATAATAAAATAATAAAATAATAATAATATTAACAAATGACTTCTATCTATTTTTCAATTTTCTGAGTCCCATTGTAACAAATCATGCAGTAATATATCATACATATTTTTCAATGAAACCTGAGTAATTGTATCGGAACCAACCACTGCAAAGGGAACCTGCTCTCTCATCCAATCAATCTTAATTTAGAAATAAAAATAAGAAAATTTAAATCAGTTTTAAAAATTAAAGAAACAAATTTATGAAAAAACAGCTGGAGGCCGAACCCAAGGGCTAAAAACTGTTGAATATGAAGGAGTTAATTTAAATCTTTTTACTCTCATTCCTCATTGGTCAAAATTAATTTTATGCATGATCAAAAGTTCTAACTCATTGGAACACGTATTTATAATAAACACGATATTTTTGAAAAAGTCTGTTTTCTAGAGATAAATAAAAAGCCACCAAAAAATCGGCCAGTACCTCATCTATCTATTTAATTATTTCCTTGTAATAGGTATTATTAAGTGCGACCAAGTTTTTGCCGGGATTTTTATTTTTTCTAGTTTGTTTGAGATTAAAATATTTATTAAGTTGAGTTAAATTTGATAAAAACTATAAAGCGAAACTATTTCAATAATGCATAATCCTACAATAATTGGACGTAAAAACTTTTCTCTCCAAACCAACCTACTATGCTGCTTTAATTTATAGTGAATAATTAAGACGGTTTACTGATAGAGAGGATGTAAGGAGATTCATGGCCTAATCATTCAGTATACACATCAAATATGCAGTACGCTTTTGAAGTAAGTAAGTGTAGTACGTGGCCTGTACAATCAGTTAAGAATTAGCGTACATCACTTCATCTATCTATATTTAAATTTGGCTTGTCTGTCTGTTTGTTTGTATCAAATAAACGTCAAAACGGCTGTACCGATCGGGCCAAAATTTTTTGTGGGTCATCACGTGACCACACGGAAGGGTTACGAATAATAAAAATTGTAAAAAATGTCTTTTAAAGGTTTTTAATTTTGTAAAAAATTAAAATGCTTGAAAATCCGCAAATTTTTTTTTAAATCCGCGAAATTTTCTTCTTCTTTGTTTTAAAATGTAAACAAAAAGAACATGTTCGCAATTTAAATAGAAGATGGGCGCGAAGCGCCCTAAAAGCCTAGTTATATAAATTTAGCTTGTCTGTCTGGGTGTTTATTTGTATCCAATAAACGTCAAAACGGCTAAACCGATCGGGCTCAAATTTTGTGTGGGACCTCACGTGACCCCAGGGAAGGTTTATGAATGATTAAAATTTTTTAAATTTGTGATTAAAAGTTTTCATTTTTGTAAAATTTTGAAAATTTTTAGTTTTTGTTTTATACTGTACAAAGAGAAGATGCTCACAGATAAAGCCACAATGAAAAGTTGAAATAGTAGATCGGCGCAAAGCGCTCTAAAAGCCTAGTATACTATAATCTTGTTGCTCCAAACCAAGGAACCAAGGGCAGGAACAAAATGAAAAAAGACGCTTTTTCAAAAACACCCTGTATAATAATTTTAAATGGGGTTTATCCAAAGAGAATAGTTTATATATTAGAGTGGAATTTAGAGAATCTCTCGGTATGAATTTTTCAGTCCCTTTCAGCCTGAAAGGGATTTCAAAGAGTACATATCATGTAAATGTTCACAAATTATATGCAGAAGAGTTCATTAATACAGTATGCAACAGTGCAACAAAATGGCCGTTATACACTTTTTTCTAGTAAATTCCCCTCTAATATATATTTTATTCTCTTTGGGTTTATCGGTCCTTTAGAGGATAAAAAGCCATGTCAAACTACATAATTGAGTAATTAAACAAAATCAAAATTTTTTTGTCGATATTTTTTATCTAACCTCTGGGTCCTCTGTTGGGGGGAAATCATAAACATTAATCTGGTTTTCAGCCAGCTCAGCCAGAATCTAGAAAAATGTAAAATCTAGAAATTGTAAAATTAAGAAACGTATCAAAAACTAGAAAATTGTAAAATCTAGAAATTGTAAAATTAAGAAGCGTATCAAAACTAGAAAATTGTAAAATCTAGAAATTGTAAAATTAAGAAAAGTATCAAAAACTAGAAAAATGGAAAATCTAAAAATTTTAAAATTAAGAAACGTTTCAAAAACTAGAAAATGAAAAATATAGAAATTAGAGAAAGCTGTAAAAATGACAAAAATTTGAGAACTATAAAATCTAAAAATTGTAAAATATAGTAAATGATAATATATAAAAAGTTGTAAATATTAGAAATTTTTAATTTAGAAAACTGTAAAACTGGGATCTACCTAAAATAATGTTTAAAAAATCTTAGACTCTTTTAATTGTAAAATCTAGTAAATTACAAAATATTTTTGTGAAATCAAAAAAAAAATGTAAAAAGTTTTATTTTCTTCCAAAATAATGTTTATTCAAATTTCTTAGGTAATGTAAAGTTTCTTTTATATAGTACTCTCTCTCTTACATACTCTTCCCGTTCTACTGGCATGTCTTTCTGTCTATCTATCTGCCTGTAGTGTCGGTCTTTCTGTCTGCCTATCTGCCTATCTGTCTGTGTGTCTATGAAATTGATTCATAAAGATCTGTTTTTATAGTGTAAATATAAAATGTTATTAGCTTTGAAGGCAGGGTGAGTAATTTGGAGGGGGGGGGGGGTGAAACCGGGTTAAAAATACAAAACATTATATAGTTTCTGCACTATTTGGTCGGTAAGGGGGGGCGGGAAGGGGGATTAGAGAGGGGCGGAGGCGGTTGCAACAGGATACTTTACAGAAAGCCTATTAATCCACTGTTTTAACCCGAACCCTATAATATAAACATTAAAAACTTGAACAGACAAACACTGCTATTTTCCTGCACAGACATATATATACATAGTAAATAGTAGATATAAATAAACAGAGAGATCTGCACAGACAGTTTCTTACAGGAATACAATTTAATATGAGATCGAAAATTTTGTTAAAATTAAAAGCTTGATATCGATGTCCAATGTCGACACTTTTAAATTTCTGAGATCAATGCTTGCTCTCAACTCAATTTAAAGACAACTCTTCAGGGTATGACGATCAAGGGATGTCGAAGAAGAATTAGATTAATCCGTAGATCTGCATAGGATGGAGATCAATGCTTGATTCAGAGATTCACGATACATTAAAAATTAACTTATGCCAGATCTGTAAATTTCTGCATCTATAGCGCAAACGTTAAGAATTCAAGCGTGTTGTTTTAATATTATTAATTGCCCTTGCATACGGTCATAATCTTCCTCTTTCAGAGAGAGCTCTACAGTGTTACCGTCCAACGATGAACCTTGAAAGGGACTGTTCACTTTCAAAACTAGAATCTTAGCTTAGAACTTTGAACTTGAAGTCGTCGTCAGGTTATTGGATACACAGTGCACACAGACAAATTAAGAAACAAACTATAAACAAAGAGAGAAGCAGAGTATATATATATATATATATATATATATATATATATATATATATATATATGATTCACATTATGCCCTAACTTTTGAATTTAGAATCAGATTCACAAATATGTCTATTTTAGGCCTGAAAAGTGTTTCTATACGTCAGTATTAACTTAGGTAACTGCGGGTTTAAACCTCGAGTTTTGAACATTCTGACGATCAAGAACACCTTTAAGATGTAAGATAGCCTTAGGGTGATTCTAAATAAAGAATTATGTTTATTTTGAAATAGCATGGACAATTCTTTTAATGACGACTTAAAATAAATCTAAGATAATGATATCTGAAGGATGAATCTGAATTATATCTAAAATATTGATTTAAACTGAAGATTTAAATGAATTTTCAAAGGCAGAAAAATGTGGCAGGTAACCAAAACCTTGCGAAGTCTCATCCTTCTTGGTTAATCCTATACATTGTGCAAGTCTTATCTCGATAAGCATCTCGTAATATTTGGTTTAAGAAATTAATTCAGCCAAAAATGTCCAAGAAAATCATGGAACATAAAAGTTTCAAAATTTTTTTTTGTCTCTGTTTCTAGCAATTTTTATTTAGGTTTATGGCCTATTGCAAAAAGTTGTTCAACTTAGAAGGTGAAAATTTGGCATATGTTTACTATCGACCTCAGAAAAAGTCCAAAATCGATCACCCCTAATATAGAAGATAAAGTAAAGGAAATTAAAAACTGTCAACCAGATGTTTAGCAATTTGAAAATTTCCATGGAATTATCGAGGAAAACCTCTACAAATCTACCAAACCAAACTTTGCTATAAACGCGTCTAGTTTTTGCCTCTGTTTACAGTTTGTTTATTCATTGTTTATATAATACATACTTCACATTTAGTTTATTTAAATTTACACTTCTTCACTTTTCAGGATTTCAGATGGAGATTTAAAGGGACAGACCGGCTATGTAAGGTAGTTGAACTGAGTATGCACTGAAAACATATGCACACAAAAGTACGATTTTGAACGTCGACTTTGCGCTCAAACTCAGGATTTACAGATCCTTATAAAGTTTTATATGTCTCAAATGAATCCAAAAGAATTTGTCCACAGCACTGTATACTCAGTTCAACTGCAGTAAGCGTAATTTACAAGAGAAATTTTCAATTTGCATCGGTACCTTCTGCTTCAACAACTCTATGGAAGATATCCTTTTTCTATTTCAATCAGTTTTGAAGGTTTAAAGGATACAATTGTGAATTGAACATGCAATTATGAAGATGGACGGTCACTTAGAAATTTGACAATAATTTCTCTCAGTATATAAATTCTAGATTTGTCAGTGAACTTATTAAATTAAATTGAAAAATTTCTTTTGGTCTAAAAAGAATGGCCTTTTTGATACTTTATAATAAGATCTGTATGCAGATTACTACCCCCCCCCCCTTTTTCCCCACATAAACATATGCCTATTAAGTGATATGGGGAAGGGGTTAATAGGGGGGGGGGGTTGAGGGCGAGGAATGAAATTAACCCATTATCAAGTGAAAGTTGGAATCTAGATAAGAGAAGGTTAAGAAGACTTCCATCTAATGGAATTGATTAAAACCCATTGATTCTTGGAATCTTGAGATAAGTGCACACACAGACAACTTTCAACCAATATTATTCTTCATTTAATGCAGGAATTTAAAGCTAATCTTTTAGAGTCAACAGAACTAAACTTTGATTACGACCCTTATATTACAGGATTTACAATTACGTAATTTATTTATTAATTTAATTATTAAAAATAGAGAAACATAATTGTGAAAACTATTTAACTTTCTTTTCAAAATATAAAATAGAGAAACACACACATCGATAACAAGTTTTTAATTTTCTTTTCAAAATATAAAATAGAGAAACACATCAATAACAAGTTTTTAATTTTCTTTTCAAAATATAAAATAGAGAGACACATCAATAACAAGTTTTTAATTTTCTTTTAAAATATAAAATAGAGAAACACATCAATAACAAGTTTTTAATTTTCTTTTCAAAATATAAAAAAAGAAACACATCAATAACAAGTTTTTAATTTTCTTTTCAAAATATAAAATAGAGAAACACTTCGATGACAAGTTTTCAATTTTCGACATTAAAAATAAAAAAAAACCCTTGTGATAAGTTTACAAGTTTTAGATCTGCTATAAATCATAAAATATTTTTGGTGTAATATGATACACATTGTAATAATAAATACTCGATACTTTTTTTTACAATTTTTTAGATTTGGATTTTTTCTTTTCAATAAATATGATGTAATATTTTGCGATTTAACCAACTTTACAATTTTTTTCATCATTTGTTGACAATAGTTATGTTTATCTTTATGAGTCATATTTAAATGCATGCTAATCATTATACAAATAAAAACTATTTGTAAACATGCGTTTGTTTGCACAATGATTTTTAGATTGTTATTTTTTATTGCATTTGTGATTGACTTTTGGTATAATTTGCATAAATGAATTGAGTTTTTGCCACAAGCCCAAATTTTCTAATCCGGTAGAAACCTTTGATATTTCAAACTTTTTAGATTATTTGATTGCAAGATACATTAAACCTTTGATATTTCAAAATTATTAGATTATTTGATCGCAAGATACATTAAACCTTTGATATTTCAAACTTATAGATTATTTCATTGCAATTTATTTATTTATGATAATATCTATCTTTATTCTATATTTGACATAATCTAAGTGTTCGCTAACTTTTTTAGTCCAAAAATATAAATGAAAATAAAAAATGTCATGCATACATAGAAAATCATGCAATACATACCGTAGCTTTGAATCGTTTAATCTCGTCTTGAGTGCAGGCATCAGATTTTCCAATCACAGGAATTATATTTACTTTATCATGTAATCTTTTCATCGCCTGCAAACAATATAAATTTTAACTTTATAATTTGTTTACTTTTTGCAACTAAAATAAATAAAGAGTATGCGCCAATTTTTATCCTTTATCGCTAAAAAGTTTTTATGTTCATAAAAGATGATTTTAATTCCCGCCAAAAAAGTTGTTGTTTATTTGGAAAAATGCTAATGCTAAATAAAAACCTCATGTTGCAAAGTGTAAACTTGTTTTTTTTTATTAAGTAACGTTTCTTGAGAAATTTGAAAACATATCTTTGATAAGTGAATATTTTAACACATCAATTCAGGATTCTTTTTGACAATATTTTTTACATGACGCCAAAAAACGTACTGCAAATATATGCAAACAAAGTTTACTGTACTGAACCTGTATGTATATTGAATAAAATGTAAACAAGGTGTACTGCACCTGTATATCGAGTTCTCTGAGCCCATGGCCTCCGGGAGCCAAGAAGTATAAGCAAGCGTGAACTCTTGTATCAACCAGCTGAACCCTAAATATTAGAAGCGTGAACTCTTGTATCAACTAGCTGAACCCTAAATATTAGGAGCCTGAACTCTTGTATCAACTAGCTGAACCCTAAATATTAGAAGCGTGTACTCTTGTATCAACCAGCTGAACCCTAAATTTTAGAAGTGTGAACTCTTGTATCAACCAGCTGAACCCTAAATATTAGAAGCGTGAACTCTTGTATCAACCAGCTGAAACCCTAAATATTAGAAGCGTGTACTCTTGTATCAACTAGCTGAACCCTAAATATTAGAAGCGTGACCTCTTGTATCAACTGCAGCTGAACCCTAAATATTAGAAGCGAGAACTCTTGTATCAACCAGCTGAACCCTAAATATTAGAAGCGTGACCTCTTGTATCAACTAGCTGAACCCTAAATATTAGAAGCGTGTACTCTTGTATCAACCAGCTGAACCCTAAATATTAGAAGCGTGACCTCTTGTATCAACTCTTGTATCAACCAGCTGAACCCTAAATATTAGAAGCGTGAACTCTTGTATCAACCAGCTGAACCCTAAATATTAGAAGCGTGACCTCTTGTATCAACTGCAGCTGAACCCTAAATATTAGAAGCGTGTACTCTTGTATCAACTAGCTGAACCCTAAATATTAGAAGCGTGAACTCTTGTATCAATCAGCTGAACCCTAAATATTAGATTCTTTAAAAAAAATTGTTTTTTTAAGGAATTAATCACTTTCCTCATACTGTAATTTACTAATCCTATATCTTGGTAACCTCATGTTGCAGACCTTAGTTATTTCAAAAATTGATTAATTCTGCCATACCAATTAGTTAATTTATTATAACAAAGGTTTACATCATCAGGTCCCAAAGATATATGGATTAGAAAATTAGAGTTTGAGGCAAGTAATTAGTTTATTTAAGATATCAATCAAAAGAATGAAGCTTATAAATACATAGTTTGATTTCACTCATTCGATGTTAAATTAATTTTTATTAAACAAATGTAAAATGCCTCAATACATTTCTTGTACAGTGTACAGTGGACTGTGTAAAGTGTGCAAAATGTACTGTATAATTCGTTGTACCTATTAACCCTCTGTTCAGCTTCAAGAAACTGGTCAAACTGGTTTTCTATGTACTCTGTGACCGGCACCCAACAATTTGTATTGTTGACAGAGTCGCCAAAACCTGGCAATAAAATAGTATTAAACACATGCAATTTAATATATTATAAATAATAATAATTCAAATAACTAAAGGGGCGTAGTTGCATGTGAAGGCTTTTAATTATGTAGGCGCATGACCGATTCACAACAATACCTTTAAACCTGGAAACCCCGGAAATAATAAATTCAAATGAGGATTCTCTTTAAAAGTGACCAAGGAATTTGTGTTTCAGATCCAATAAAGAAAATCGTCAGATTTGACTCTTGATTAGTTAGAAAAACGACCGGATATCCTTCCTCATTGTTAGTCAGACAAAGGATTAAAAGTTACCGTTGTAAATCGAACGTGCTCCTCTGTAAATGGAGGGTACCTTGAAATAAAGCAACAACATTCAGATGCTAATAATTTTAAAAATAAAATACTCAATATGATATCTTCAAAATGAAGATAATAATAATAATGCTAAAACTAATAAAAACGTAACATAAAAAATGATAATGATCATCTAGATAGTTAAATAAAAAATAATAAAGTTAAATGATAACTGTGATGATAATGATACTTGTACCTGGAGTATCCACTACAGTAAGTGCTAGTTTAACCCCTCCTTCTTCGAGAAGAACTGTGTGGGGCTCAACATCAACAGTTCTACAAACATGAAAATACATCATTGATCAAAGACCAAGATCAAAATAATCAATTTGTCTATCAAGGACAAAGCTCAAGATACCGAATTCGTCGATCAAGGACCAAGATCAAAAAACCGAATTCGTTGATCAAGGACAAAGATCAAGAAAATAAATTCGTCGATCAAGGACAAAGCTCAAATACTGAATTCGGCGATCAAGGACCAAGATCAAAAACTGAATTCGTCGATCAAGGACCAAGATCATAAAACCGAATTCGTTGTTCAAGGACACAGATCAAGAAAATAAATTCGTCGATCAAGGACCAAGACCAGGATACTGAATTCGTCGATCAAGGACAAAGATCAGGATACTGAATTCGTCGATAAAGGACCAAATTCAGGATATTAAATTCGTCGATCAAGGACGAAGATCAAGATAATGAATTCATCGATCAAGGATCTAGAAAGATCTTGCTGAAAGGTCAAGATTTAAGGAGGAATTCGGTCAGTAATTGATAAAAGACTTTTTTCTGAAACAGTGTTAAATCTAGTTTTTTTTTACCTTTTTATTTCTGATTTAGATTTAGGACCACTTTGGTAAATATTAGTTAGAAACATCGAGTTCACCAGGGTAGACTAAATAATAATAATAATAATAATAATAATAATAATAATAATAACTATGATCTCCTAACCCCTACTCCCTCTAGTTTCTTACATCCCGCCCAACATATGGTAAGAAACGTAAATTTTTACATTTAAAATATAAGTATATTATATTTCAGTGTGGGTGACACACTGAACCCTATTTGCAGGGGTGAAATCAGGAGGTTGAGAGGGGGCAAATTGGACAAATCCATGCAACCCCAACCAATATCTGACCCAAAAATGTTTAAAAATTGGGAGGGGGGTGGGTCACAATTTTTATGAAAAGCAAGACCCTATTTTAATTATGCATATGGGAGGATTGGGAGGGCCGGGGCTGAAAATGACTAGAATGTCCTAAGCCCACTTGAACTAGATCCACTTGCATCTGGAACTATACTGCCTGCCTACAGGGTGTCTCGACATAACGCAATACAACTATTGCGTAAAACTTAAAGAAAGAGTTTTCAAAAAATGAGAGGGCTAGAAATTAACCATGTGATCGGTTTATTACGTTAAGAATAATGCCCTTCGTGTTGTTAATAGATGTTAATTGTAACTAATTGGTGATATTCTGACGATGGAAACTATTTAACAAATAATTCGGAGGAAAATTTTAAAAATTTTCTTTCTAATTTCTTCTTGTCTTTCATGTTCAGATGTTGAGCTACCCTGTAGGCTTTGGTTAGTTTGAATGATGAGAATGATTTTTGCAAAAAGTTTTACATCTCTAATTTATTATGGTTTAGCTAACTGGAGCTAGTATACATGTTAAAGAATGATCTAACAAAACGAAATCTATACCAAAATGAAAATTAAAGAAAATTTCTGCAGGGAATTTAATAAAAAATATTTTTCAAATAGTTTTTTTATTCCTTTCATGCAGATTTTTTTTAATAAACGAAAAATTGAAAGCAATATTGAATTTAACTGGGTTTAGAATTCTATGAAGTGAAGGAATATTCAACTTTTTTGGGAAGTGAACTACAGTCATATTAATTTCTAAAAAATCTAAAAAAAATGTCAGCCTTGCTTTTTTATCTATAAAATAACTGATCACTCGTCACAAACTTTAAATTTCTTATTCCTTCCTCTCCACAATAACTAATTTGATCTTGCACAGCATTTACAGTTAGAATTATCAAAAATTAACGACATTAAGTAATTGGTTACAAGATTATAGTTTGAGGTTAGTTATATGTTGCTTTTTATTTAGTTCAAGTACGATTTAACCCAGAACTTCGGAGACATCGAAAGAATTCATATTATGACGTCTTGGCAATTTTCGATGGGTTTTTCAGTTTTATGCCTAAATCTTAGTAATTGTAAAACTAAGTTAGTCATAAAATATGCGGGAACACTTTTAAAGAGCTCCATATAATTATTAAAAAACTAAATATCTGCAGCTTTCATTATCAGTAGGTTAAGAAAACGACATTTTATCTATTCTTTCGATGTCTCAAAAGTTCTGGGTTGAACTGTCTAACAGTACAAATACAATATGTTACTGAACTACTAGCAACACAACACTCTGTATCAAAATGCAGAGAGAGTAAAGACGACCTACCTTCCCTAGTCCGCTTTCTCCAACAACCATTAAGGTAAACTCAAATCCTTTCCTTACAGCACGCCGGTAAACCTGGTCAGGCAGAGATCCAAACCCAACATATCCACCAGGCTGAGAACTAGATAAATCTATATGTATACTTTGCTTGTCTGTTTNAAATTTTTAAAATGGCGGACTTTAGGAGCAACATTAAAAACTAAATTATTTACAGGAAACCGGGCGCAAAGCACCACAATAGCCTAGTTATATAAACTAGATTATATTCAACTAGCTAGGGAACCCAACTTTGCCTGGAGTTTTCCAAACAAAAGTTAACCCACTCAACTTAGAATTTTGTAAACCAAGCTAAGAACATTTCCGGTGGTTCTACCGAGTTCACAGATGAAAATTTGAAGCAAATCAGTGCAGGAGTTCATGAGTTATGATTGGACATCCACAAAAACTAACAAAGATTACTGTATATATAGTTCATCAAGAACTTTTTATGTAGCCATTTCTGTGAAGGTGACATAAAACATATAAATGAAGACGATATTAACACATCATAAATGGCAAATATCTCATCTTAAATTGAACTCTATAGATAGGAGTAGTTTTGAATGCATGTATTGACATAAGGCACAAGCCTGCATCAACATGCAGATAAGCAAAATATATTATTGTATATGAATAAAAATCAATAAAGCAATGCACTGAGTTTCTCAAATATTCAACGAGTCGGTTTTTCTTACAATATATTTATATACAAAAGTTACAAAAATACAAACTTTAAATCGAACGATATTTATACAAACTAAATATTATGAATAAAATCAGTTTCATCAAATAGGGGAATTCTTCAAGGGAACCTCAGTTTAAGGGAGCTGACGATCAACTAACTGTCCTCCTTCGATTTTGCTTTATCCTAGGATCGCATTTAACCCTAGCTACCCCGGGGTTGTTCCGCCCCCTCCCCAACGCTTGGGTCTTCAAGATAACGGAAAATTCGGCGTCGCTTGGGTTATTTATAGAATCCAAATGCAAACTCAAATAAATCCGTTAGGATTCAGAATAGGACTCTAAAGTCCAACCATAGGGTTAAAGAATGGGGGGGGGGGGAGGGGGGCATGATTCCCCTTGGTAGCTATGATCTCAGCGATCCAAAAAATCCTTGAATTGCTGATCGTAAAAGATCAACAAAACTCGCCCACTGTTACAATATGCATTGAATGAAAAATATTAAAAATATTAAAAATAAGATTGCATATTTCATCTTACGCAGTTTACCTTTTACCCCATAGTTCATAGTTTATTTTGCTAATAAAATAAACTGGTGACTGAACTTCAAGTGACCCTCCATTTATTACAATTTCTTTGTCATTTATAGAGAGACATGTCCGATTCAGCTTTTCTGATCAAAATATCCCTGTTTTTTACTTTGAAAATATATTAGATACTAGCTTGGGAACCCAGGATTGCCCTGGTAGTCATGGGGTTAGTCCCACTGTTTACCCGTGCTTTGTCGTAAATTACGATTTTAGCTATTTTTCCCAATAAAAGTCGACCCACTCAACTAATAATCTCAAAACCAAGCTAAAAACATTCCCGTGGTTCTTCCGAGTTCCCTAATTGATCTTACTGTCCCTCTTCAAATAAAATTCCAACAAATTTCCCATTTTTTATTGTTTTTTTTACCTTCTTAACCCTGGGTTTGTGCTTGAAACTTCTTGTTTATGTGCAAAGGGTTTGTTTGTATCAAGAGCAACTGGTTCTTCGGCTTTTGGCTTAAAAGTGTGG